GGCCAGTGTTGGAGGTAACGCGTTACTAGTAACGACGTTACTGGTAACGCGTTACATTTTTCGCTAACACAGTAACGTACTCGTTGGTATTCTGACTGACTAACGAGTAAAGTATTTCCGTTACTTTTTTACAGTATCGGATGTCAAATTTTGTTACTCGTTACTCGTTACTTTTGACCAAAACTGGTGAAATCCTGCACGAGCTTATCTCAAAATCCTGCCCAGCTTATCGCTGCACGGAACCAGCATCCGTCGCAGTAAAGTAAAAAAAAAAAAAAAAAACTCACTTCTCGAAGGCGAAAAAAACCTTCGGCTACCAGCTAATTCCGTTCATCCTCCTTTTGCTTTCTTTTTTTTTTTGTCATAGTGTCACCACCCACAAGGCTTGAACGAACGACTGCGTTACAACCTCCTCCCCTCCCTCCTCTCCGCCCCCCCCCCCCCCCCTGCTTTGTGCAGCAGAAGTGGACAGGGGGGGGGGGGGGGGGAGCCGTGGAGAGACATCCGTTTACAATAGTGGACAACTATATTCCGTTTCAAACATAGCGTGCAACGTAGTCAAAGCTAGCGCGCCGGTTTGCACAGCCGACCGCGACTACGTTCGCTCCACAAAATAGTGCGGCCCCTGAAAAAAAAAAGAAGTGGAAAAGTGTACATCTTTGTAGCTAGTAACTAATAGTGTCGTTATGATTTCGAGGGAACACCGATTCTTTTTCAATAAAAAGGAAGAGATAATGTAAACTACTCCAAATTATTTTCCGTTTTCGTTCGTGCGGCACTCGCACTCGCTTCGGGTTTTCGGGTTGTGCGGCTGCCCCTGCCTCGCCGGTTTCGTGAAGATGGCGTCTTACGCGGGAAGCTTTCTTTTCCTGCTCGGATATTTTCGAAGCTTCGTTGTGTGAAGATCTCGCAAAAGTGCAAGCAGGTGATCGCCAACGTGTACGCGAGTTCAAGAACGTGTTTCCCGGAGACGTCGGTCCGTGAGGTCCTGGAGACGGTCAGTAACGACACCGGAGTGTCTGGCAAGGCGGCGTCCCCGAAGCGAAGACCTCGCAACGTGAAAGTTCGGAGCACGCGGACAGTATTGTGAACTGCCACCTGTTGTTTCTGGTGTTGAAATCGTCCTTATGGCTTCAAAGTGAAACAATCGTCAAGAAGGAACTGTGTCGGTGATGAATCGTGCCTACGGCTCCGTCTGCTTGCGGGACCTTACAGCAGGCGGTGCCCGTGATTGCATTCCGAAGCGTCTGGGTTCTTCTGCTTGCGGGACCGTAACCATGGTCGGCTCCGTCTGCCTGAGGCACCTTAAACTTGGTCGGCTAAGTAAACGACGCACATGCCCGTGTCTGTATTCCGAGGCCCCTGCTTTCCTCGAAAAGGAAACAACACTCGATCCTGATCTCGATTGCCGTGTGTTGTGTACGCGTCTATTGTGAATCACTCCCGGTTCATGGGGGCGCCGGCACCAGAGCACCGAGATACTGCCGTCTGGATGACTTCTTCCATACACCGGCGAGTATTCTGACTCTGAAGGAAACTTCCATGAAGTCACATCACGTGAGGGAATGCCAAGCCGTCTGAACAATGGCAGTGCGGTCCCCTAATCACAATATTCGTTATATAAAGGACCGTCTACCACACTCTCAAGGTACTCTCTGATTTTCACGCTACCATGTAAATAAACGGCTTTAAATAGAGACGCCCTGGGTCTCGACCGTTCTTCCGTTTTGACGAGGCCGGCGCAAGTTCGAGCGGAACACCAGCCCCTAGTCTACCTTCTTATAAATAAAATCAACAAGAAAAGAGGAATTGAAATATGCACTTCCGCAATACGCACAATCTTGCACAAAAAATCGGTCGAGAAAAAAAAACAAAAAACTTTGCGCTTTAAGTGGATTCGAACCACCGCCACCGAGATGTCGGAATCGCAAGAGCAGCGCCTTGAACCGCTCGTCCACGAAATCTCGCGGAGTAACACAATTTTGTGTGTTTTTTCATGCGCACTACTTCAGTAGCTTTCCCAGCGTTGCACGCGATGTTTGAAACGGAGTATAGTGGCGTAGCGATTTGCTTATTTCTCTAGTTTAAAAAAAAAAAAAGAAACACCCTTTGTGGAATATTTTTACCCTCGCTCTCCCCCTCGCTGCCTGAAAGTTCCTGACCCACTTTGTACACAGAGGTATCTTTCGCTTGATTAGTCTTTAATTCCCTAAGATCATAATAAAAAAAAAAAAAGTTTTCAACCTGGAAAGAAAACTTAAACACGAAACCTTTTTTTTTTTTTCACAGAAAAACTAAGAGCTACTGCTGGTAAGAGGCAGCAAGTGATTATAGCCAATGTGCTGGTAACCGGTGTCCTGTTCCAGATAGTGAAGTAAATCAGTCTCTAAAAATAGTATGAACCGGACTGTTACTAAAACCGGCGTACAGATGAGGGTTGTTGGTTGGCTGGTTGTGCTCCAGCAGTCCTCGTTCGCATGCTGTAGTTTCTAAAAGCCGATTGACTAACATCTCCGACTCATTCTGCGCGTGAGATGGGCATGAATAACGAAAGTCCGTCGCCATAGCCAGCAGGTCTGAATGAAATGTATCAACTAAAGGAGACAGAATCAGGTAATTTACAGTTTCAATGCCTAATCTGCCTGCCGAAAATTAAGCTGCTTCGCGCATCAAAACACTATGAAACCACTCTGTAAATGTTTATCTTTATCCAAGCTTGTTAAGGAGGCATTATCATACATCTCTGCCAAACATATGTACTCGAATAGAAAAGTAACGTAAAAGTAGCGTTCGTTATTTTTGAAAAGTAACGGTAACGGTATATCGTTACGTTTGTAAAAGAGTAACGTAGCTCGATAACGCGTTACTTTTTACCAAACTAACGAGTAACGCTATTTCGTTACTTTTTTTCGGTAACGGGCACAACACTGCTTGTGGCCAAGCTACCTTTACATAGGCTTATCGAAAAAAAAGATTTATACGATGCGTTTGTGACAGCATATTGACTAAGAATGAGGCGGTTTATAATATGCCTATATAATAATTAGATGTTCACAATCAAAATTTGTGCCCTGGATTTCAAATATAAGCAATTGTTATTTAGGGTCAGAAACACTAGCATTGTATATATTTTGCTTTGAATTTGCCTGTATACGTAAAGTTTTGGCTCATTTACAGACACAAACTGAACAAAATTCTTTCAGGTGTGTATAACAAGAAATATAACCAGAACGGCGCGCCGCTGGTCGTTCCATTGTGTCTTTCTATCTATCTTATTTTATTTATACATATATACGCGTATAAGTAATAAACACAACGACGACGACTTTGAGAGGATGACACACCGGGCGACGGCGGTGCTTCAATCTGAGCCCTGGTTCCTCGGAAGCAGCAGCTTCTACTTTGACAGGGCTACCTCCTTGTAGCCTTATGCTTCTACCCCAGTGGACCCCAGTGAGCAACAGCGCCATCATGTTCCTGGGGCTCCTTCATGCACCAACCGAACGGCGTGCCAGATCCCCATGCCTCGCTGCTGACCCGCCCAACCCACCTCCACGAAATCTGGACTTCTGCGAACCGGACTGCCATCCTCCCCAATACCTACAATCCGTGTCATCGTCATCATGCATTATATACTCATCAAATTATCATGTTCACTAGACGCGGCACCGCGGGCCTCCATGGTACAGGCTGCTGCTGCTCTCCATAGCCAAATAAATAAAGACTAAAAACTAAGGACTAAAGACAAAGTGCTTTGCTGACCAACAGCCGGTAGCGCCTTAAAAGAAAGAACAATAGTGTTTCTTCGTTTAGAGGATACAAATTCCAAAACTACACCATACTAGTGGCGCACATCACTGAAATAACATACGCAATACAGAAAATAACAGATTGTCACTTGAACGCAAAACGGCAAAATACACATAACTGGGGATATTTTTTGTTTCTAGAAGCCAAATTCAGAAACCTAAACTAAACTAATGTTTGCTGAAACTATGGGTATATCGTGTGCGTCGTTTTGAAAAAGTATCAAACGAAAACACCACGCAACACATTTGACGTTGTTTCACACCTCGAGACACTGGCTTGCATTGGCGCACCGACCGCCGGCGTAGCATAGCGCATAGTCGTTAAATGTCTGAGACTGATGATGATGATAGCTTGTTTGTCAAAAAAAGAAAACTCGGCGCGGACCTTCCCTTTGTCAGGGTTGGATTCGGCGCTGTAGGCGTTCTGTCCAGTGCAAATGAGCGGAATGGAATGTATCCCCCGAGTAAAGTATTTGGCCAGGCGCAATCGGTGAAAAGGGTGGGAGGCCGGAGAAATGCACAGGAGAGGAGTTTCAGATACCGGTCGCGCGCTTCGAATTCTCCGTTTATCTTGCTCTATATATAGGGTGCGTGTGTATGAAGGCACTCTATCTTGCTCAAGGTTGATACGCCACGTGTCGTGAGAATCGGGAACTAAAACAGCGTGTCCCAGAAGTGAAATTGGTAGTACCAATTTCACATCCTCTTTGAACACTGCCCATGTCTCGCCTAATTCACCGTCCCTCTTGCTCACCTTACGTCACGCAGCAGTCAATAAACTCTTCGTCCTTGAGCAGAGTTGTGTTTCTGTTCCAGAGATCCCAATCGAACTTCGAGGCTCCCCTTTCTTTTTTCCCTATTTTTAAAATTACGAGGCAGCGGACCGAGAAAAATACTGGTTTTGTAGAACTTTAGCAACTCTCCTAAGGATCAAGTGAGCAAACGGGCAGGCTGGTTTAGCTTCCACAAAATTGAGACGTCCGTGCTTGTCCTCATTTTCGGCTCTCGGTCGTCTCTGGATTAAATTATGCGTCCCGTTTTGAATACGCTCGTGAGTATAGCTTAGAATATTAGCTTTACAAAAGTGCACAACGTCCCCTGAATAGCTTGAAAGTTCAGATGCCACTCAGGCGACTGTTCTGACGTAAGACTTAACACTCTACCACTTTTTTTTTTTTTTTTGCCACGCAGTGGGAGAGCGGTGCTGCAACGGCGCCCAGACCCCCGAGTGCTACATAGCCTGCAAGGGCGTCTTCGTCGACCCGGAGTCCCGGCGAAAAGAGCGAGAGATCAAGGAAAGCCTGGACGTCCACTGCTCAGCCCAGAGCCCCGTCGTGCTCGACTGCGTGCGAAACGTAACCCATGCCAAGCGTTCCCAAACGGCGCACCAAAGTAGGTCACGCTGCCTCGACGCAGAGTAGTCATTGAACGGCGATATGACCAGTTCATATGTAAAGCTATGAGTAAATTCGAGCATGACTATAATTTAGTGCAAGCATTTTGTAAAAAGGCTGTACAAACAGATGCCGAACAAACACTCACTTAACTCGCAGATCCGTAAAATCTTACTGCCAGGTATCAGGTTTCTTGACCGCACCCGATCTTTTCCGAGCAAGTTTTGGAGCACAGCACTTAGGCACCCGTTTCCGGGTTGAGCGGCGACGCCGTCGGCGTAACCGCGCGCATTGCATTATAAGAAATGTTTTTCCTCCAAATTTAGCAGAAATTTTTTTTAGCTAAATTTAGCGGGAAATTTTTCACTAAATTCAGCGGGGAAATTTGTTCGCTAAATTTAGCGGGAGAATTTCCCCTAAACTTAGCAAAAAAATGTGTCCGCTAAATTTAGCGGGTTAAGTTTTTCCGCTAAGTTTAGCGGGGAAATGGACGTCACGTGACCTCAACGCCAATTCAGTTGCCCCGCTAGCTTTAGCGGAGAAATGTTTGCTAAATTTAGCGGGAAATTTAGCGAAAATCTCCGGCTAAATGGGAGGCGAGGAGGAGGGGAGGGGAAGGAGGGGCATACCCTCCCCTCCGTACCCTCCCCTCCTCCTCCTCAAGAGCTACGCTCTAGTTCGGCATGACAAAGAATCGTAAACGTCTTTAATTTTTTTTTTTTTTGCATCCACGGTTTTGGGAAACTTTATTTACGCCACGCAAACAATTTCTGCACGGACACACTCTTATCCTTGAACGCAGCGAAAAAAAAACTTAATATCCCGTCTAAAACTGCCGTCTCCGCAAATAGTGCACATTGCCCTGTATGTTTGGAAAGTCCTGAGAGCGTGCATTTTGCATGTCATAAGTTTATTAGCATGGCTTCAGGAGGTGTATTTTATAGAGCAAGTATTAATGCAAACAAGGCATCAAGAAGTTTATGCTTTCTTACCTTTATCTCTGATGGCGCTGCACACAACTTGTGAGAATAGTGAAAAAAGCTGCAACCGTTGCCGGCGAGCGCAGTTAGCCGTTCCTTCTGATGGTTCTGTAAGCAGTTGCTTGAAAACAATTGGGCGTGTTCCTTGGTGAGCTCTGAACAGCTTAGGGTTCATGAAGACCAATGTGAAGGTCGGTGTGGGCAATATTATGCGATATTCTACCATAATCATATAGTTCCTTCTTTTCTGTGTAAATTTTCTCGTCTGTGTTTCTCGGAGTGTGAATAACCGTCGAGGCAGCGAGTGAGATGTGCGCGTGTCGAAGGATACAATAAATAGTTGAGGGCAAAATTTATAACAAAATATATACTATTCAGAAGGACCTTCTCGCCATTACTACTTCACGATGTACTATTGCTTATATTGTGTGCTATTCTCGTCTCTCCATACACACGGTTCGCACCTGGAGACCTGTGATTTTGACCCTTTGAACATTCACTTGCGGGAGACTTGAGCGGACCACAGTTTGACAAGCCGAAAAACAAAAAGGCGCCAAATGTTTTGCTGGCGACACTGGAAAACGTTTTGATGGCTTCCGCAGTTTCATGTTTTGTTCAAAGGCGCTTTGGAATGGTATCTACTTTCACAGATCTATTTACCCTAACATACAGGTTTTTTTTTAGTTTTTTTTTAAGATATACAGATTTGTTTAAAAAACGCGTTGAAGCTACACTTACGCTGTTTGTGAATGTGTGTTAAACGGCCAGGGGGACATTATGTGGTGGCTTATCTTTGCAATAAGTCGGCTAATTAATTGAAATTTGGTAACTAACTTTTGAATTAATGAAAATATGCATATGGTTCCAATTAACAAACTTACTGAGCGTCATCGAAAACCACTAAATCAACATTTTTAAGAACGACTTGAAGCTCGTGGGAAACTCGGGGGCGCACCAAAGTTATCACTTGTGCAGCAGGCGCAAAGCTAGCAGTGTCAAAACACGGATGATTAGATTAGCATCGCGTTCCGCTACTGCTAGCTTTGCGCCTGCTGCACAAGTGGTAACTTTGGTGCGCCCCCGAGTTTCCCACGAGCTTCAAGTCGTTCTAAAAAAGTTGATTTAGTGGTTTTCGAGTACGCTCAGTAAGTTTCTAATTGGAACCATATGTCTATTTGAACTCGTTAAAAAGTTAATTAGCGAATTTTAATTAACTAGCCGAATTATCGCAAAGATTAGCCACTAACATAATGTCCACCTGGCCGTATAACTCACCTGCACAAACCGCATAAGTGTAACTTTCACAGTTTATTTTTTTAACAACTTTTTAAAGCTTAAAGAAAAACACCCTGTATTTACGTTTGCTGAAAGGTTTACTGCAACACTGCGTGTTCTGGACTCGAAGGTGTGAGCATGAATACAGCCGAACATAATAATCCCTGGAGAAGGGGAACAAAAGGACGAGCGGTAATCACAAATATTCGAACACAACTGGGTGATTGGTGCCGGTTGAAAAAATCCACCTGCTGCTGGTATTGAACGAGGGCCTTCTCCATTTTCAGTGCACCGCTCCACCAACTGACATAACCAGGAGTTAGACGTCAGTAAAGGGAACGGGTTTTAACTGCTGCCACCATTCTAGCCACAAACAAGGTTGAACTGCCTGCATTTTAAGGTTATGATGTTAAAGCAGTTCCTACAAAGGAGCTGACGAACTGAACATAATAAACGATGATAATCTCTGGAGAAGGCGAGCAAGGGGGACAAAGGGGAAACACAAATCTCCAATTACAGCTAGATGACTGGTGCGCGCTGAGAACATCCGTCGGGTCGTGGTATCAAACCACGGACCTCTCCATTTTCACTGGAGAGGTCCCTGGTTCGATACCAGGACAAGGCACATTTTGTTCAGCGCGCACAATTAACCTCACTGTGTTTGAAGATTTGCGTTTGTCCTTTGTCGCCCTAGTTCTCCTCCTCCAGGGATTGTTACCGTTCCTTATGTCCAGCTCGCCTGCACATTTGCAGTAATTTCTTTAATATAAATACGGCTGTTTATTTGGTATTGCACAAATCATTTGCTGCACCTAGTGGCGCTTTCATGAAGCATTACAATGCCAGCTGTTCCCCAGAACGATTGAACATTGGTTTTCTCCTTTTTTCCCGTGTCTCACTGAATTTTTTTCATTTTTGTTGACCACCCCAGTTTCGGGTCTTACTATCATGGTGTACCAGCTTGCCTGCAATCCGACTGTTTTCTTTTTTCCTTGTTCAAGATCTTGTTGTCTACCAATTATTTCAAGCCATCTGCTGCCTTCTTTAGTTTTCTACGAGTTCTGCGAGGTATCTCCATAGCATCGATATGGAACAATAATGCGTGGTACAGTACTCAAGTCCTCCACATCAAAACCTGTTCCAGAGATCCACTGCTGCGAGCACGCGCCCAACGACAGATGCCGAAGCACGTGCATCCACGTACTCCAGACTCTCGAGATCGAGCAGGAGATCATGGAGGGACTCCTAGCTGGCGGCTGCGATGCGCCGATGCTTCACGTAAGAACGTATTGATCTTGATGATGAAAAAGTGCTAAAGGGAAACTGAAGTGGTTTTCTATTTGTGGAAAAACGCCTAAATCGTCTTCATTTGTCCGTCAGGATCACGAATATTGACATTATTTTTCAATTCGGTGCACGGACGCTGCAGAAATTAAATTTCGAAGCACCGCCGAAGCCCCTCCTTCCCGGGTCGTGACGTCATATTAAGAGTTTCGGAATCTTCGCTCCCGCGCATCTTCGGCGCCTGTCAAAGCTATGCAAGCGCACTCTTGCTATTTTTAAAAAGATAAGTAAAAGACGTCATGACTGGTGTCCGTGTGGGATGATATACCTGGCAGGCTTGCAATTGCACGCACTGCCCACACGAGCAACGCGCGCTTGGCGGCCCAGGGATCCCAGTATGACGTTACGACTGGTCGGGAGTTCTGAGTGTTTAACATCTTCGGGCAAAACGAAAGTGATGTTCAGGTCCACGGGATAAAAATATCTGAGAATTCACCTCTAGCTCGTTTTCTTCAAGAAGCCTTTCAGCTTCCCTTTAAACTAGACAACCAAAGCACTGTTTGTTACGCCACCATATTTCTTTAAGTGTGCCGTGATTCGCCGCCCTTTTACAGAATTACACGATAATTCTGGAAAGCGATCCGTCAAGTTGTCAACGTACAACTACAGGGTGAAACAAGGAGACGCCAGGCTTTTTAAATCGACCGGAAAATTTGGTTTCTTAACCTATCGCGCTACGACTTTGTGCAGCGTTGCCCACAGATGGTGCATTTTCTTTTTTTGTAAAATTTGCAAAGAGCGAACTTACCTGGGGAAAAAGTAAAAAAAAGAAAAAGGCTTAGCTCCTATGGAAACGCAGCGACGCCACCGGTCTTCAAACAACATGACGCCATTTAGCACGGGACACAAAAGATGGCGCAACGAACGCCGCCAACGAACGAGCGTACGGCGCCGAGAGCCAGCGTCTTTAGCAGGCTTTAGCTTTTCGACTCAAAAGTGGAGCGCGTTCCGCGGGCGGCAACAGTCGCAGAAACAAAAACGGGCAAGGAACTGCAGTTTCTTGTCTGCTAAATACGCCGGCTCTCGGCGTCGTCTGCTCGTTCGTTGGCGGCAGTTGGCGTCACGACCGCTTGCGCCATCTCTCGTCTCCCGTGCGAAACGGCGCCGTGTTGCTTGCAGACCGGTGGCTTCGCTGCGTTTCCATAGAAGCTAAGCCTTTTTCTTTCTTTACTTTTTCCTCAGGTAAGTTCGCTCTTTGCAAATTTTACAAGAAAAAATGCACCACCTGTGGGCAACGCTGCAAAAAGTCGTAGCGTGATAGGTTAAGAAACCGAATTTTCCAGTCGATTTAAAGAGCCTGGCGTCTCCTTGTTTCACCCTGTAGATAGCTACAAACAAAGGAAGGGTTTTACACCAGAATCGATGGATCACTGTCTTACAGTATTTATTTATCTATTTATTTATTTACAAGATACTGCCGGCCATCGATCCGGCCCAAGCAGGAGTGAATGCGGTTTTTCTTCATATGATACCCAGTATTTATACATCAAAAGAAAAGGAGCGGCGACTAAAAACACATAAACCACATAAAACACAGATAACATTTCAAGATTGTGTTCAATTGATCGTAGAACATTGTCCGAAGTAAAAATATGGGAGGGCAAGGAACTTCAATCTGTTACCCTTCCGGGGAAAAATGAGTATTTAAAAGCATTTGTGTGAGCGAATATGGGAGTTATTATTTTCTGTATGGTCCTGTTTGGTCTGTCTAGAAGATGATTGCTGAATATAGGATGAAGACTCAAGGCGACGTTTGTGATACTAAAGCTGAAAAATTAATTTTAATCAAGCTAGCTTCCTGCGATCTTCTAGAGGAATGATGTTAGTTCTTATTCATTTATTTGGAGAGTCATGCCGCCGATGACGATTATATATAAAACGAACTGTTAGTCTCTGGACCTGCTCGAGCCTGTTAATTTCTTTCTTCGTAAAAGGATCCTATACACTGCAAGCGCACTCCAACCGAGACCTTCTTAGTGTGTTATAGGTCAGAAGTTTGACATGAGAGTGTACGTATAGGGTGACCCAAGTCACCAGGTTTGGTCTAAATTGGACCGTAAAAATCGACGCCTGCACGTAGCAATTAATCTAAACTTTTCTTCAAAGGTGTATTTCACACATCGATTTTTTTCTTGTAAAATTAGAAAGCGTAGCTTTCTTTCTGTAAAAAATAGGGCCAAAAAACTTGCCAGGGTCTACGGCGGGCTGCGACGCCGACGACCAAGTTGAGTTGCGGGGCGCGTTTGGCGCGCCTATTGATAGATGGCGCTACCTCCTTACCGAGACGGCTCGCGACAACCGTGGTTTATTAAAATGAACATAATTCGTTTGTAACGTACCTTTGATAAAAAAAATAAATGCGGACAATAAAAGCTAAACTTAAACTTTAAAAAAAAACATGTCTGCATAACGACGGCGTTTATGCTGCCAATAAATTTCGTCTGCGTGTCGTCTGCTTTCTTTCGCTGGTCGCCTGCACCTTCCGACGCTGCTCTCGATGCCATCTATCAATACGCTCGCGAAAAGCGGCCCGCAACTGGACTTGGTCGCCTACGTCGCCGCCCGCCGTTGACTTAGGCAAATTTCTTGGCCATATTTTGTACAGAAAGGAGCTACGCTTTGTAATTTTACATGAAAAAAGCGACCTGTGAAATGCACCTTTCTCGAAAAGTTCAGATTGCTACGTGCAGGCGTCGATCTTTACGGTCCATTTTAGACCGAGCCCGGTAATTTGGGTCACCCTATATTTAAGCTTGTGCCTTAATAGGCCTAATTTACGACGTGCGGATGCACAGATTCGTTCAATGTGTGAGGCCAAGGGAGGTTGTTAGTAATCGTAACTCCAAGGTACTTAAAACTGTCTGTTTAAGAAACGATTCTATTGCCAATAGAATAATGAAACATACAGGTGCACTTTTTGTTGGTGATACGCATGAACAAAGATTTGTCTTGATTAAGTTTAATTTTCTAGAGGTTGCACCACTTAGAAATTGCATTCATACTCTCATTCTGCACAACCCGGTCGCTAATAGAGTTAAATGCCTTGAAAAGTAAGCATTCATCTGCAAGTAAACGAATACTCATGCTCTCGTCGATGCATGAGATTAAATCATTATTCGAATTTGAGGGACATTTTCTTGCGGGATACCAGAATTTACAGAAAGGGCATCTGAATAATGACCGTCTGCATCGACAAATTGTTTGCGCATTTCTAGGTAAGAGAAAACGAGAAACGAGAAACGATCGTTTGGATCAGACATTCCGTCCAGAAAAAAAATAATTGTTTACTCACAAATACGAAAAGGTAAACCTGTATTTAGTGTGGATTTGCAACTTTATTCCGTCAAGTACAATGAAGCTGCGGTAGCGCTTGATCGGGTTTTTAACGACCAGAACACTCCAGATGAAACACGTGCAAAGTGATACCTGTCGAAGGCATTGTGAATCTATAAAGGACATCTTCATTCAATCTTTGGAGGCACTGCATCCGTTTTCCTGAAGTTCCGCCGCACATACACTCTAAAACCGGTCCCTCATAAAAAACGCTGTCCCTCTGAATTTAGAGGGGACAACAATGCTTTCAGGGGGACAGCCCTTTTTAAGAGGGAAATTGAAAAATAAAATAGCAACATCTAGAGGGACACCAACATATTAAGAGAGACCAAGGAAACCGTTTCGTTAGTCCCTCTGAACAGGAAAGACAGACAAAAAGATTCACGCGTGTTCCTTCATATTAAGAGGGGACCGGTCCCTCTTAACTGGACCAATGTAGTTCGGTCAGGAGGAGGGGGGCAGGCGCACTAATCCACGGCAAAGAGTTCAGACGGTGCTAAGGCTTCGCGCCAATTCACGGAGAGCTGGAAACGGTCGTTGCCGGAGAGTCGCAAGCGTCATGCTGCTCGTTTGACTTCCTTCGGGTGAGTAATCCTGTCATATTGGCGCTTTTGTTTTGGGTGCATTGCAGGTGGGAATAACGAGCCATCAATATTTTCACGCTGGCTGTGAGATGAACGAGCTTTGCATGTAGAGTGAGAGTGTTCAGCTGTAGTCCGCGGACGCGGTCGCTTCCTGGATCTGCTCGTTCAGCTAGCACAAAGCGTCGCTAATCGTTTGCCCTGCCGTGAGCCGCAGGGCTGTCTTTCGCACAAAACACTTTTAGCGGGTCAGGGTGTCCCAATGTGTACGCGTCTGTCTTAAGCTAATGGTATCAGACCATTTTCTGTCCGACGCTTGTCTACTTTTCCATTTCGAACGCGCGATCGTTCTTCTCCCAGCTCGAGCTGCTAACTTTGGCAGTGCTACGCCGGCATTTTATTACCGGCAATTTCCTGGTATTTTATCCGTGAGCGTACACTGTCGGCATCGAGTACTACAAAGGATGGCATCACCCTCCCTAAGGCAAAGCCAACATAAAGGCACCCTAGCTGGGGCAGTCAGTGTTTGTAAGCTTGGCTCGCCGATTTCTTTCTCGGTGTGCACTCTAAATGCTTGAGGTTGACCGCCCGAGAGCGTTGATTGACAGAAACAATGTTGGCGATTTTGCGTTTGTTTGCCTTCACAATTCATTACAGCAATTTACACTGCAACGTTATGTTGTAGACATCGTTAGCGTTGCAGTGATTATGAACATTTTTTTCTCAAGTGGGCGGCGAGTAAAAACCCATAATGTGTGTGTATGTTTGTGAAAAGGGCAGGGGGATTGGACGAGCAAAAAACAAAAAGAAGAAATAAAGGTTTTTTTTTCTTCGCGTGTTCGCGTTGCGTCGGCGTCGCGGCGTCTGGCTGAAGGGTGTAGCGGCGGCCAGGGAGTACATTTTTTTTTTTGTATTTCTTTGGCGTATTGTTTTGTTCGTTATATTTTGACGGTCGTGCCGGCACAGCTACCGGCTTTTTTTTTTTTTTTTTGGCGCCGACCATGTTTTTGTTTTTGGAAATTTTATTTATGATGTTTATTATGCTCTTTGTTTTCTGTAGCTGGGTGAATATTGTTTTTTCTGTGTCGTGCATCCGCGAAAAATATATAAACAGAAGTTTGTTTTTTTTTTCTTTTCTTTCTTATGCGCTTTAGGGCTAGTGCGTTGACTGTGGGCGTTAAATGGCTGACCGTTATTAACAATCTTGTTTTCAGAGTGAGGCAATGGCAACGAACGTTGACATGAAGGGAATCAGGCGGGGGTTCCGCTCGGATTGCTCGTGTAAAGAGCTCTACCGGGACCCTCTGCACGGTGGAACGCACCACCCTGAGTGGTGAGCCTACTGCGGCCACCCGCACACGGTTCACAACGAACTCGGTAATTATTAATAATAATAATAAGAAGAAGAAGAAGAAATTTTATTCACATCATAAACATAATACATATGCAGGCCCGCAAAAGCACTGGTGTGCTTGTATGCGGGACCTGGCGTCCAGGTCCCGCATACAAGCACTTTTTGTATTCCGGTATGTAGGTAAGCTCTATTTACGTTCTGTTGGCATATGCACTGCTTCTGAAAAAAAAAAAAAAAAAAATGAATGGCTTGCGGCGAAATATTTACAGAAAAGTAATTTTTTATTTGATTATGTTGCTTTCTAAAACATGCGCTAGATCACTTCTGCAGCTTCGAGCCGCAAATGCAATCCATGCTTTCCAAAGCACATGGGGCTTCTAAAGCTCATCTACTACTAAATGCGTTTTCGTTTTGTCTTGGTAATACAGAAACAATTGATTCTCGTAAATTAATTAAAACTGCAGTCTATTCTCGTACCAAAAATTAATAGTAGCAGAAGTTGCGTCATAAGCTCATGTCACTCGCTATTTCATCGCATACAGATTGGGTTCCGAATCTTTGAACTGTTTGCACTTTATTTTCGCATTTGTTTCCTATCGCCTGCTTGATAACAGGTGAAAGCGCTTCATTACCTTTATTCTAATTCCCACCCTCTGTATCTAAAGGAAAACAATATGGTCTTTCATTCAGCTAAAGGTGGATGCACAACTTCGGTTCCATAACACGATCGTCACCATGCTGGGAAACCTGGAGGAGGTAAAAGGGGCCTTCTGCGGAGACAACCCAACAACATTCTTGAACATTAAGACCATCCTCCGGTCTCGATTGGCCAGAAGTTCTTTCATCACCTATGGTATGTGAAAAAGCGAATGCAAAAATAGAAATCTAAGTTTGACGCTGACGCAATTTTTTTTTTTTTTAGGAATTGCTGCTTGCAGGATGATTGTACCCCTGACGAAAAAGTTCCAAGGCCCAAGACTTTCTACGTTTCGGAGAAAGGGATCGTTTCTGGGAACTGGTCAGTGAAACTCACCGCTAGCACGACTATGGAGGGGGCACTAGTCATGTGCTTATGGGTGTATTACATAACGGGACTTTCCTACCCCGTGGCATGTGGACAAACCCTTGGACTCCTTTAGGGTCTGCTCGTTGAAAATAAAGTGTTTCGATTCAGTTTATGTCGGAGAAGCTCATAAAATCGCTTATGGCCGTTCAAAAACAACAGAAATTCTGAGCTTCTGCTGATGGCAAGAGACGCCGAATAATTAGTTTTTAATGCTATGAAGTAGGTAACTATGCTCTAAAAAAAAGCACAGGAATCTACTTTCCCGAGCCAGCACTTGGAAAGTCAATCACCGTAACTCACGGAAGCAGCTCAGCGAATCACGATGCCGAAACATAAGATTAGACCAAAAAAGCCAGTCCGAGTTGTGACATTAACCAATGCAAAACATCGCGCTTGTTGTGCTTAATGTCGCAACTCATTTTTTTGGTATAATCATATGTTTCGGCATCTACATTCGCTGAGCTGCCTCCGAGAGTTATGGTGATTGTCTTTCCAAGTGTTGTGCGGGAAAGTAGACGTACGGGCTTTTTTTTAGAATGTGCTTTTCTTTTTGTGTTATCCGCTAAAAAAAGTTTTTTTTTTTTTTTTCCAGCACGATTGTATTGTTGTTGTTTAGGGTAGGCAAAATGAGTCACTCTGCAGCACGAAATGTTTTGTGTGATAGCTTCCAAGAAACGTCGATTTCTGGCGTCGTTCTAAGTCTTTTTTTTATTCGTAAAAGCTACCAGAACATCGTTATAGAATTATTATTTTGATGAAGACATATCAAAATACTTTCTTGTGTCATGGCAAATAAAACAGTGTTTACTCTTAAAGATTGTTACTGTTTTCTTTAACACATACTTTGGTTAAACCATATCAGCAAAAGTGCGAGAAGTGCAGTGCAGCATGTCAGCTTACACTCAAAACACGAAGGAGCAGAAATTGTACGATACAATAACAGAGGTAACTTAAAGCCGGGGTCACGCTGCTTATACATCATACAAAATACATTCTGCAGACATGTTCCAATACGAGTCACCGCGACATCCGTGCTTTGTATGCCACGTGACAAAGTAACCTCTTGATTGGTTACCTCGTGGCGTACGAAGCGCGGATCGTCGAGGCGACTCGTTTCGGAACATGTCTGCAGAATGTATTTTGTATGAAGTATAAGCAGCGTGACCCCGACTTAAGGGGGACTATGCCCCTGCATTTTAAGCGGGCCACCGTCCCTCCGAATTTAAGGAAGAAAATATCTAAAAACTGTCCCTCTTAATTAAGGGACTCTGACCTCAATTTTAAGGGAGACGCCGCCTCGCTTACTTTAAGAGGGGTGGTGTCTCACTTAATTAAGAGGGAGCATCTCCATGTAATATTAAGAGGTCTGTCGCCCCCCTTAAAGTTAAGTGGGAAAAAATCGAAGAAATGTCCCTCTTACTAAGTGGGACCGGGCTTAGAGTGTACAATATGACCGTCAAACGTCTCAGCATTATTCTTCAAATAGGAAGTTCGTACCCTACTGGGCCGCGGAGGGAAGGGGGTTGGGAGGAGAGGGGAGTGTTAACAGCTCCTCCACGTGGCGTCACGCCATTGGTCGATTGCGCTATGACATCGAACGAAGAGCAGCGCTCCATGTGTCTCTTTCGTGGCCTTGATAGGTTGCGACCAATGCCAACACGAGCAAGCAAGGTGCGTTCAAGGCTCCCATAGAAACCTTTAACCAGATCTGAGGACATATTTTCTGAATGATCGCGCACTGTGGCTGTCATTGCAATGCATTGCGGTAACGCCGGGCTGTGTGGCGAGTGTCTGGAGTGTCGTGAATCCCGTAGGCCAACGCCGAGATTAAACTTAACGGAGCCTCGACAATCCACAAATGAAAACGTTACTAGCCTCAGGCTGTCATCATGCTTGCTGTGCACATGCACTCATGCACTGTAAGGCTAGATTTTGCGCTTGAAGCGTTGACGCAGTTCATACACTTTAAAACTTCATTAAAAAGAATAATAAAAAAAAACTCCACTACTGTCATGTCCCGTTATATTGGACCCTGTCAATATGAATAGCCCGCTATATAGACACCATTTTCGGAGACAAACTTAGAAAATACATGCATCCTTGTCTTGTTATTATGGACAGCTCACATTATGGACAATTTTTGGGGGGAATGGAGGTGTCCATATAAACGAGACATGACTATACTTCACACTATGATGCAAGGCAACCATCATGGTTGGGATCAGTATAAAACCGCAGTACCAATATTTTATTCCCAAACTTATTGGCTTAATGTATATCTCATTTTGTATGCACCTGGTCGTGATCGAGTGTCTCCTGAACGGCCTGTGTGAACTGTTTTCGGCATAGCGCGGAAAGTGACCATAAAACACTGCGGTACCTATTTTCGCATAGGTCACAGTGAAATTACATACCTCGTTTACCAATGCGCTGGTGCACTGTGTATGTGCTTTTTATTTACACTGTTAATGCCAAAATATGTTATTCCCAAAAATAGCAAGTAGTAAAATGATATAGAAAGTGCTTTGGTCTAAACGATTTAATCTTACTGTGAGTTAGGGAACATGCGTCCATGCCACGCGGCTTAGCAGTGCAGGTATGGCTCGCCAGGCCCGTAATCCCTAGCTTCACTTTCCGCAGTGATTGATCTGCAAGCGAAAGGCGGCATAAGTGTTCATTTATTATATTTCATTTATTAGTCCCTTAAATGCCCACGAGGAGCTTTACTTAAGGGAGACATATAGTCAATGTAAGGTTTGGAACATTTCCCCGAAAAATAGAGAAAATGCTGCAAAGGATAAAACCATGTTTGTTTTCCATTAAAACTTCAGTTGAGAGTTAGCGCTTTTCTTGTGTGCACCCTTTTACTTCGTCTTCGTTTTTGTCCGCTGTGGCAATTTTGCTAAGTTAGTGAATTTATAAGCCATAAAACTTGGTGCGTGTTTCCTAAAATTTTCAGATATTTGTTATGGATACTATTTGAATCCGGTAGACTGTTCTAGCTGTTAACAGAAAGCTGTAAGGGAGAAACTCTAAAGCTTTTGGTCATAGGAAAAGACTAATTCAATTTTCAAGTTACTTTAGCGACGGGAGGTGTGAGGTGCGGATGTGCAGTATAGGTTTTTCTACAAAAGAAAGCGGTAGTAAAATGTGTGCAGTATTGTGAGGGCGGATGTTGTTCTCCGTGTTTTAAAAAGCGGGAGATCTCGTTTGGTTTTAAGTACGCTGACGCTAGCTGTAATATAAGAGTTGCGGAAATAAATCGTAGGGCTTTGATATATTTCAAGAATAACCGATGAGGCAGAAGTGTGGTAAGCTGGGTGAGTTGGAATGATGACATAGTGAACAGTACAGATTACAAAAAGACAAGGACAGAGAAAATTAACATGCACGACGCACAAGCCCTGTACGTTCCTATTCTCTGTCCTTGTCTTTTTGTGCACTGTACTGTTCACTATATAGCCGACGAGGGTTCCATACTAACGAGGCGTACTGCAATTGGGGTCAAACACCGCCATGCTCATTGCAGGACAAGCTCTGGCAATGCTTCCTGTACAGCTCCAAGCCCAAGCTCCCAGTGGCCACAAAGACCTTCCTACCCAGCGACGGCGCCAAGATACAATGCTGTCTTCGAGCAACCACGATAGAATGCCAGAGGTTCTGCCTCAAGGTATAGGTCTCCTCTCACTGTTCCTTGGACAGACCGTTGCTGCCAGTAGCTCGCTTTGCCACGATATTTGTGATTAACAGAAAGTCATAGTATATCATGACACCTTTGACACCGAGAGTGTTTGATGTGTGTTCGCGGTTAACTTTTATTGCTTCTACTTTTTACGTCACAAATTCACTTCGTTCTAGCGTAACTTGACAAAGGGCTACTGCAATGGCCTGTTCGAGTCTTTCAGACCGACGAAGCGGACCGTGTAAAGTCGTTCCACGAGAGGAGTCTACACCGGCGATACGCCACCACTTAACGCGTCGTCACGCGAAGCATGGTTTTACCGTCTGATAAGTTATGCAAGTTCGATGGTGCCTGCAATACTGTTGCAGCGAGCTAAACAAACTCTAGTAAACTTGTCGATTTCAGGAACTGCTTTAAATAGACCCCATCCATGGCAAACGCCACCAGATGGTGCTCCACTCTTTAACGTCCCAGAGAACTTCCGGTTCATAAAAATAATGAGCAAAGCCCACCGTCATTCCGCTGAATGAACTGTCCATGAAACGTCAAATTACCCATTCTTCTGGTTAACGCCAAAAGAAAGAAGAAGCAGGAGATCTGTTAAAATGTTTGAATATTCTTGTAAACCAATTTGCCCCCCCTCCCCCCTCCCCGAATAAAAGACGTTAAAGTATATTGCCGGGGGCCCTGGTTAAATCTCCAACTTTGCTGTCCGTGTAGAAATTATACTTTCTAGCACTGGTCACATAAACCAGCTCAAAAGACTTACAAAGATGGAGCGACTAGAAGTCACTTGGGACCCAAGCGGCAGCTCATGTTTGTAAAAAAGCAAAACGGTCTGTACTTAATACTATGGTGGAACGCAAGATCCACAGTAGAAGTTCAGCCTCCAGCGCGAGTTTTCTACCTTTGGTGGCATTTCGGCGTGCTCGAAGCCCAAGCACGACGGAGAGTAATGAGTGCGTGGTGAAGGCAGAGATTATCCTGGATGCTTCATATTGCAACGAACGTTGCGCTCCTGCTCACAGATGCCTAAGGTATATGTTGACATTTCTGCTGGCAAAATGTTTGTTCCTGAACGTATGTGTTCACAAATGACTTGTTCAAGCAATTCATTTTGAGGCAAAAAACTAATGTTTATTCTTGACGAATGTATAGGCTCACCAACGAGGTAGAGGGGCTTAGAGCGATAAACCTGGGTTCTTGTTGTACACGCCGAGTAACCCCGTTCCCCTTCTCCCAAGACCGCTCCCATTGTACGCAAATGTGAATGCTCGTCACGTGACCAAACCAAACACGTGACGCCACAGGAAAGATGGCAACGCCCAGGCAGTAAGGCCGGAGCATTTGCAGGAGCTTGTTGGATGCGCTGTTCGTTGTCGTTCGTCTGAGCGAGTTGATTTCATATGCGGGAGTCGTCATATGAAGCCGGTTGAAAGCGACTTCAGAGTTCAGCGTGGTCTCTCACGTAGGTATAACGTGGAGATACGGAGGAACGGTGTGCATTTCGCTGGTGATCGACGGGGATATTTCCCCGAGAGAGACAATTGGCCCTGTGTTGCTTATATATAGCCTATAAAGGGAGGAAACGCCCACGAATGGAAGAGACGGACCGAGGTCACGGTGGCGTGTAGATCGAATGTCTACGGCCATGTTATAGTTCAATACTAACAACCCTTTTCTGTTACTTGAATAAATGTAGTTTCTTGTTATGGAAACTCCGGATTCATATTGTTCCTCCCGGATGGACATGCAGCAAGGCAATCCTACCACAGTGCTCACAAATGTTTCGTGTTCTGAGTGCATATCCGCGTGAGCCTGAAGCCGCTCTTACACTACTCATACATCATACTCAGGTCAGGGTATTCGCTGCAGACATGGCGACAGAATTGTTTGCTTTATCGAGCATGATCGAAGCACATTCGCTTCATTCACGCTTTGAAAATGTCTCAATGCGTTTCTTTTTTTACGACCGATCTGACCGACATACGAGGAAGACACGCGCGCTTGAGGCAGTATCAGCACTCCGTCTTTTGAATGACGTATTATAAGTGGGACTGAGGCTGAACTCAGCACAATGCTTCTACTCAGTTTGCTCAACTCTGAAAATATGACACAAACCAAGTTTTCTTCTTATTTTTTTTTTAGAAAACACGCAGAACTGTCTAGCGTGTGTTGTAGACGCCTTTCTTTTGAATGTGAACTCCTTCATAGTATGTATCAGCAATGTGCGGATAGTCGAGTTTTTGTAATATTAGTTTCGGATAACAAGTTATTCGATATTCGGGTCTTGATTAACTACGATATTCGTACTTTTGGAAGTGTTGATCGCTGCGAATGAAGGCTCATTCACACTGCCCCATTTTCTTACGTTATGTTACGTTACGAAATATTATGTAGAAATTACCGGGACCTCTGCTTCATATTAAGCGAGGCCACCAGTTCAAGGAGAAAGCATGACACGCGATATTCGAGACACGAATGTTTCGGTGACTTATACGTAATGTAACTTAAGGCCGGTTCAGACACTTGCGTTTGAATGCGTTTGACAGCGTTGCGTCGGGAACCGAAAGCGAGTCACCGGCACATCTGTGCTTCGTACGAAGCGTGGAATCCAACTCAAGGAATCATCTTGGCACACGATAGCAGCAGTAGGAATGTCCTGGTTCCTCGCTGCCGCAACGAAGTCAAACGCAGTCAAACGCAGTCAAACGCAACTGTCTGAACCAGGCTTTAACGTAATAAAACGCAGCAGTGTGAATGAGCCTTTATCCCCGTTGAGAACGCTTCTTATCGAGCACCAGTGCACTGCAGAGAAGCAACACCGTCGGAAGCGGGCTCTAGGGTTGTTTCTTTTGTGCAGCGCGAAAGTAATCGGTCAATAGCGCGGCGCTCAACGGGTATTGGCGACGTGAGCGATCGAAAGCGTCGCTGTGATTGGTCCTTCACGATTGTCCGAATGCCGACTATGACCTCAGCAAAGGATTTCTCATCCACGGAAATAAAAGTGACGTAAGAACTTCAATTTTGACGGTGTTGGCAGCGTTGCTTTCATGAAAGCAACGCTGCCAACACCGTCAAAATCATTGCACTCTGCAGAGTGCAATGATTTCAAACTTCCACCATGTTAATTACAAACACCATCGAACTTGTGCTTCGCAAGGTAATGACGTCACGAGAGGTAAGCATAGGAGGGTGCCACCAAAACATCTCGCCGCCAATAACGTGCTGTGAAGGCGGCCTAGGCAGCGACCAGTCGAAGCGGAGTTACATAAAAAAACTACAGTGATAAAACTGCTTTAATTTTCGAAGCAAAAAAAAAAAAAAAAAGACGAAAACGAAAACGAACAAGCACAAAGCAGAGCGCGCGCTCTTAGAACATGACGTTCGGCAGCGTGGTGTTTGAGGGACGTTGCCACAGATAGCTAGCATAGAAGGAACAACGCGAAGGAGGGAAGAAAGTGAGATCGAAACTTAACTGAACCTAACGCCTGCCACGATCAACACTTCAAAAATATAAATATCGCAGACGCGTGTTAATGAGAAAAGCACACTATCAAAAGGGGGAGCTGCACGTCCGCGCTTGGCGTATTTAAAAAAGACATGTAGACTTCGTGCCTGTTGATGTCGTACAGTGTGCACAGCTAAATTTTTATAATTTAGCTGACCATTATGCGAAAGTATATGTTAAGCAAAGATGTCCTGGCGACCTGCATTCATCATTTGGTGGTCCTTTTTTTTTAAATTTGAGAATGACGAGAGTGTATTTCCACATAGAATATTTACAGATCCCCTCGATTAGGAATAGCTGTGCACCCTTAAAATTTTAATTTTATGACTACTCTCTCGTTGTCTCGCCATCCCAATGTAGGCATTGGACTTTATAAGGCCACAATTTATAAATATAGTTAGGTTAAACTTCACTTAACTTACGAATCAACAAGTGGAAGCTCGAGAACTACCTTAACAAGTTCAGCTGGGTTTTCCTTGAACCACTGTAAAACAATAGTGAATAGATTAGAAATATCATTCAATATTCTACTCGAAAATATTCGACCAAAACCACTTTTCGCTTCGAATTTACTTCAAACTCAAAATTCACTGGGGAAACATGCCTAATATTTATTGATTTCTTTAAAGTATATTTGAGGCAGGAAGCGGTAGTTCCCCGGAATTCAACTATGACGGAAACATTGTCGCTTGAGGAGGTTTATCATGCAAATGACAACTATTGGGCGAGTGCGTGATTCCGGGTCGAGAAAAGCTTGAGAGAAAAGACGAGCTGGCAGCTGTTAGTGCACAAAAGCGTCTTGATATGGAAATGAGCTGTATAGATGGAATAGAACAGATGGCTTTATATTTGTATCAAGTATTGAGCGCCCTGAGTAGTAATGGACATAGTAAGCCTGGAGCGGGGTAACAAAATATGCGGACAGACACGAAACTCGCGAGTATCGTATCTGTCCGTACTTTTTTATTCCTTCGCGTCAGGGTTACTATGTTTATCCTTAACCACCCCGCCTGCCTACTTGCTTTACCATTTGATTGGTCAGCTATTGCACTTTTGTGATAATGCATTTCGTGCACCCCAGAAATGCTTTAAACTTTTTTTTTTTAACGGAATGATGTTGAGGATGAATTTTAACAAAGTATATTAACGCCTTGTTTATAACTCTGCGCTTATCCTAATTTTTTTTTTTTTAATTTAGAAAAAAAAAGTTTTAAAGCTCTTTGCTGGCCTGTCTATGGTACGTTGTTTCCTATTCTTTTTTTATGTTATTACTTCTATATGATTTTGTATTTTTTTCTCTCTCTCTACGTAAGATGTGTATCATCAAGAAATTAAGTTCGGTGTACGTAGAGTAATCCGAATGACAAAACGAGGCGAAGTAACTTCAATTTTAAATGTACCACTTTTGAATCTTTGAAGTGCGTAATGGGTCAGCGTTGACTTCCAGCTCTTTTTGAACGTGCGCTCGTGAGTTGGAGCGTTTTTTCTATATCGGATAGTTTGCTTCATTCGACCGTTCTAAAATAGTTTAAGCAAACAAAGCGGTGACCTTTGGGCCAACGCAAAGTGGGACACCTCCGAAACCAAACCTAGGCATGCGGTTCATTCAGAGCGCAAATAACTATTCGTCTGCTCTAAACCATAACAATCAGCTTTTAAGAAAACACCCCTAGACTGGGAAAACACGAAAGACAACACGACAACACAGAGTTGTGAGGATATTTGTTGTTGGGTCGTCAATCGTTGATCCCCAGTTTCGGGCTTTTGTCTTAAAGCATGTTCGACTACTAACAGCTAGTCTGCGGCCTAAGCTCTATGTTCTCCAATCAGCTTGTCTCTTTCTTCTTTTCTTACCGACTAGACGTACGGGGCGGACTGGGGATCTTACTGGGAGACCTTCCACACCAAGTGCCAGTACCACCCCGCAGAAGTGGACATGCAGAACTGCCTCGCAGATGGTGAGCAACATTGATCTCCTTCCCGCATGTCCTCAAAAAGAGCTGGCAATTCAGGTTAGCTGTACCAAAGTGGCACGCGACTGGAGACGACTTTAAAGGTGTCATGAAACGATTTTCATACTTCTTCCTCCTTAGCTTTAATCTTTAACTCAAATGCGAATTGTGAAATCACGTCGTCGTGACATTCTTTGGCACCGGTGCCTTGACTCCTAGCTTCCACCGTGCTTTCTATGCACACCATAGAACTTGTCACTCCCCACTGACGATAAGTTTCGTCCGGGCACTCATTGGTCACGAACGCGAATCCAAATATTCGTCGACGGATTGATTGTTGACGAGCGCATACGCCCGAGTGACGCAGTTCTCGTGTCCAATGCGTGAGCTGGGCTCTGCTGACGTCAGTTTGGCGCCGCTGACGCGCTTTAGGAACCGCGGATGAATCATAGTGAAAAGGCGGAGAGCTTTCGAAGGAAAGATGGTACAAAATAGTTCGCTGTATTTTCAAATGTTCGTACCGAAAAGCTGGCTGTTGACTTTCGACCCTCTTCCGTTTGACCAACTAAACGATATGCGAGTAGTAAAGTCCCGATTTAAAATCATTTATCCCAACCCGAAATTCGTTTCATGGCCCCTTTAAGCACCTCTTCAAACGGCTAACTGTGCGTTTTACAGTGCACATGCTTAGCGCCCTCTTTGGATTTTTTCCATCATGGTCACCCGTGTGAGTCCGTAGTCCTTGGGCAAATATATGCGATCCGCCCCGCACTTTGAGGGATCAATTGGGGAGGAGATCGAACGGTCATGCCTCTAGCGGTTCGCTTCATCTGTAGGGACAACAAACCGAATTTTTTTGCTTGTTTTTCATCCAAGAAATTGAAGATAACGATTCGAAGGCCGCTCCTCATGCGACCAAAGCACTGGTCAGAACAAAGCGCTCGTGCCCAGACCGTGGTAGGCGAGGTTCAGTCGCTATGTTATGCTTTGTTAGTAAACACCGGGTTGTGGTGACAACAAGCTCGATAAAGCGCCCCCTATCGTTCGGTCTCCTGCCCAATAGCTGATGTTAGCAGAGCGCAGATCCGAACACGCGGACCGAAAGCTCGTGCTACAGAACTCCGTGATTTTGGGTTCAGTTCCCTTTCCCGCCCGTTTCTATCTGGATGATCATCAGGCCAACGTGGGTTCCCTATAACTACTGTGTGATGCACATTACATTCCATGCTGGCAGTCGTACTTCACTCGATTAAATGCTCATCTACAGCGGAAACACCAAACGCCCATTGGTGCTCACTGCCCGCTGTCTCAACATCCGCACAACTTCATTGCTTTGCTACACCTGCACCACGGGAAGTTTAAATATTTGACATTTTAGGCTTGTCGTTACTGTCACAGCTGATACATTGTTTGGTAGACTAGTTGGGACGACTACATAGGTCGCAATAACGCCCATTTATCGTTGTTCCGCCAGCCACTCGTGTTTATGCAAGGCTGCTTATGAGTGCACTCTCTAAAGCCGCAGGCGCACTGCTCATAGCGAAAGACTGCAATAAATAATGAAATGATTATCTACACCTTAAGCATGTTCCAAGCCTAATTTCTTTATACCTATGCAGGCTCGAAAATTCCTGCAATCTTGGTCTAACCGATATGACAAGACCGTCATTCACAATGTCTATAGGTTGTCTATCTTATCTTGTATTGGAACGCGGCTTCGGGAGTTTCGAAGGGCACGCAATACCACAAAGCAATCCTAACATCGAACGAAGTTGTTTTTTTGTTTTTTTGTTTGTTTTTTTTTTTCACTGAGGAGGGTGATTAGCAAGGTACTATAAATCACGTTGTTTCGGTGGCAAAAATGTGTGTCAACCCCCTTTGCTCCTGCGACTTCATAATGCCAGCGGGGTTTGCGTTGGAACACAAATCCCGCTTGGGCTTCTCTGCATGGAAATAAATTATTGTTGCTTAGTGTTGAAGAATCAAAGCGTTTAGTATGAACGAATATCATAAGTGACACTGACAAGCGAGGCCAAACAATGGTAATAATATATAAGCGTAGGACCTCGGTTTACGTTGGTTTTTTCAGAGCGCAGCTCTTAGGCTCCTGTTTCCGGCTGGACGGCGTCGCCGTCGCCGTCGACGTAACCGCGCGTTACATTATGGGACGTTTCCCATAATCACGTCACATGTGACGTCACTTGTTACATCAGGAGGGCAAAAGTTTCCGGCTAAATTTAGTTAAAAATTTTTCCTCTAAATTTAGCGAAGATTTTCCCGCCAAATTTGGTGTGAAAATTTTACCCGCATGACGTCACACGTGACCCTCCCTTCCGTGCGCTCCTCTCCCCCTTCTCAAGAGCTGAGCTCTAATTTGGCATTACAGAGAATTGTTAGCGTCTTTCATTTTTTTTTCTTCTTTGTTTGCCAAGTTGGCAAAACACTGTCTTTCATCAAGTGCCGACAATGGGCTGTGGTGCAATAATAGAAACTTCGAAAGAAAACGGAGTCGGCAAAGGGCTCGGCAAAACTGTGATCTCATACAGCAACCCTACGGGGAGAGTTGCATATGAGAACAGTCTACCCTCAACGCACGTGTGCAGGAGTTTGTAGATCGGTGCCAACATTCGGCTATGTCTTTTTGTTGTTATTTTTTCTCTGAGATACAGTTCACTTATAAATCAAAGGAAGACGTGTACACCGACTTTGGGCTGATGCCGAAGTAATTTTCTAGATTTATTGCTCCAATAGTTCATCTTATTTATGTAGTGCGCTCTACTATTATTACTGATTCATGCGAGTCAGTGGCTTCACAGGTGATGCGCATCGTAGCCATAAATTGCTTTACCCCTCACCTCCACCAAAATGTCACAAACGCCAAATGTTGAGGCGCGTAATAACTGTAAAAAAGAAACGTTTAATAGGGCGAACTTGGTTTCGAAACATTATAGAAGAAGGTTAGCATCGCAGGCGTCGATGTTGGCGAAACAGCAAGATTGAGCGCTGGGGTGAGACTGACTTCGGCTCGCCACGCGGCGCGACTTTTCTACTCGAGTAGGTGTCTGGAACATTCGTATTACGAATTTCCTGCGCGGCGAACGTTCCACGCCGGATGTTCCAGAAAGCAGCGCGGGTACAAAAGGTGCACCGCGCGGCGAGCCGGAGTCAGGCTCGCCCCACCGCTTAATCCTGCTGTTAAGCCGACATCGATGCTTGCGACTCAATCCTTCTTTTATTTTCTTTTGGGCCCAAGTTCGCCCCGTTAAACGTTTAGTTTTCCCCGTTATTAGTGCCTCATCGTCTGTCATTCGTGACATTTTTGGTGTAGGTGCTGAGGATGGCGAACGTCAGACGTACCCCTCGATGTCTTGAGGGCGCTCGCCGTATTTCGTTCTCGGGCTCCTCGGGTGGAACAGGCGCAGCCCAAGTCGTCGTTAAAGGGCATTTACGATAGATGCGGTTGGCTTCCCAGCTGTGGAGAGAGAGTCGGCGTTGGTCGGCCGTTCGCCACAAGTCGGTCTTTCCTGACGCAACTTGTTCTTGGCGGACGTGCGCCCGACCTTCCTGGCGTCGGGGATACTTCGACGCGGGAGGTTCACGTCGGGACCCCCCGTGTACGGACGCGGGGCTGATGGTGTTCGTCTGCCCCTTCCGGCGTAACTTAGAGCGGCCTCCTCCGGTGATGATACGGTGACAGGAGCCTCAGACTGGAAGACTCGGTGAACCTCCTCTCGGACGACTTCGGACGGTTGATCAGCACCGGGTAGTAGGGAGTTTTAGGGAACCGTTTTTCTATATCCGATACAGCACGGTGGGCCCTCGGGTACGGACTGCGCATGCGCAACCACAGAAGAATCCCATATGCGCAGTTCGCAGCGGAGTGCTCACCGTACCGTTTAGAATGTGCAAAAACGGTTCCCTAAAACTCCCTAGTACCTTGCGAAGCTCTTCCCGGACGATATCGCGGAGGATCTCGCGAAGGCCGTCGTCATCGGCGGCGTTCAGGTCCAGTCAGGAAGATGCGACGGTTGGAGGAGCAGGCACGTCGGCGAATCGGTGGTAACGGCTTGCTCGGGGAGACAGCGCGCGCTGGTTGTTGGTGTCTTCAGTCACAAAACCGTTGACGGTTCTCGGGGGATTGCGGACGAGGGCTCCGACATATTCGCCCTTCACGCCACGCGTGAGGACACTAAGTTCCTTCTTCTCAGCGGCCTCAGGATCGGCCCGGGCACTTATGCGCAGGACATATTTAACGAAGCTGGTGACGATTTCGTTGGGGCCCGGCACCCTTGTTTGGAAAAAGTCCTCCGCTCGCCGCCGACGGTGCTGGTTGATGAGCTTACGGTTCAATTCGGCGACGCAGGACTCCGATGTAGTGAAGGAGGCTTCGTGGATTTCAATCCAGTGCTTCGCAATGCCTTCAAGCGAGAAATAGAGATTGTGAAAACACTGCTCAGTTGTCCATCCGTTCTGGCGGGCTTCAGAAAATTGGGTTGTTTGTATGTTTATATAGCCTAGAACTTGGTCTGCCTCAGCGGGTGACGAGTTTCTCAGCTGTAGATGAGCAATTTAGCCATTGCGGTTCAATCGGTAGTTTGGAGTCTTTAACGTACACCACGCAGTAGTGATACACGACCGCACGCCGGTACGATGCTCATCCAGATCGAAACGGGCAGGGTGGAAATTGAGCCCAGGATTCCTGGGTTCTACAGCGCCAGCTTTCGCTCTACGTGCTCCGAGCTGGTGTGCGCTCGACCACTCGGCCACCGATCCCCCTGGCGGGCTTCATCTTTATAGTGTTGCAGCCAATCCTCGATATCCTCGTGGACCCCACCGTAGTAAGGCGTCGGAGTCCGGGGTGCGATGGGCAGGTATACCTACAGCGGCGGCGGCTGGGGTCTACGACGACTGGCTGTCCATCGACGGCCTCGGTGGCTGCTTGGTCTTGGGTGGCAAAAGTCCGGTTTACGGCGGTATAGCCTTGGGTGCGGCGGCTTCTTCAGGTCTCGGTAGTCTCTGCGGATGGTCCTCTTGAGTGAGGCATTGGGCTTGCGCTGGGAGGCTCCGAAGTTTTACGCTTCATGAGCTGCGTTACCCGGCACCTACACCAAAAATGTCACGAATGATAAACGATGAGGCAGCTAATAACTGGAGAAACTACACTCTGAATGGGGCGAACTTGGGGCCGAAAGAGAAGAAGGTTAGCGTCCCAGGTGTCGATGTCACCAAAACAGCAGAATCAAACACTGGAGCGAGATGGATTTCGCTCGCCACCCAGAGCACTTTGTGTACCCGCGTGGGTTTCTGGAGCATTCGAGTTACGAATGTTGCAGTCGCCGACCGTTCTACGCCGGATGTTCCAGAAAGCCACGCGGGTTCAAAGGTGCACCGCGCGGCGAGACGGAGTCAGGCTCGCCCCAGCGCTTGATCCAGCTGTTACGCCGACATCGATGCCTCCGACTCAAACTTTCTTTTATTTTGTTTTGGGCCAAAGTTCGCCCCATTAAACGTTTAGTTTCCCCCCTTATAAGCCGCCTCAGCATTTGTCATTCGTGACAATATAAATAGATATATTATACACAAAAATAATTGCACATACATGGATATATATCTTCAGCTTTATAAATAAATACTAGAATTTGCAAAAGTAACTGGCATAGCAATAATTAAAATTTGTAAAATGAATAATGTAAAAAAATTTAAAAAGTGAAAGCCGTTTACAAGCCCCTGTAACGCCGAATTGGAGCGCAGCTCTTGAGGAGGAGGAGGGAAGGGTACTGAGGGGAGGGTAGACACCTTTTCCTCCTCCTCCTCCTCCTCTTCCTCCTCCTTCTCCTCCTCCTCCTCCTCCCCTCATTCTTTAATATGCTCCGGGGGGGTCAGCTGACCTCGGGGGGGGGGGGGGTGTCACGTGACTTCGGGGGGAGGGGATCGCGTGACCTCGGGGAGGGGCCCACGTGCCCTCGGGGGGTCACGTGACCTTGGGGGGACGTGGGGGTCACCTTGAGGGGTCACGTGACCTTGAGGTGACCTTGGGAGGGGTCACGTGACCTTGGGAGGGGTCACGTGACCCAGTGCTGTACGGAACGGCGTTCCTGGAACGCGTTCCTTTTAGGAGGAACGAAGGAACGCCGCCGTTCCATTTCGCATCGGTGGAACTGGATCGGGAAGGCGTTACATTTTTAGTGGAACGGGAAAAGGAACGGCGTTCCTTTTTTTTTCGTCCGTTAATTTGATTTCTAAGAGGAAAATTGTAAAAGTATAAAAACAATATCTTTACGAAGAGCAGGATCTCGTTAACTTTTTGCTTAGTTATCTTCAGGTTTATCTTGAGTGGTACCCGCTTGGTAACAGTCGGGTGCAGGAGAGCTAGGGGACATCGATTCTATTTTCAGTGCCCGCGGGACTGCGCTACAAAAAGCAAATTTTTTAGTCGAAGCAAAGGACACAGAAAAATGAAGGTTTCAAACTCAGCTACTTTCTATGCTTCCACGAATCCTCACACACCCAGAAATCTGAGGCCGACTACAGCTATCACTGAACTTCCACAAAGCGAACAACAGATACAACAAAAGTACAAATAACCAGGCTTCGAACATACCCCTGTATCCCGAGCATTGGACACTTAAAAGTTACGCAAAAATTTACCTTTATTAAGTCTCTGCTTGTCCCCACCTTCAAACTGAACAACGAATCCAGCCTTCATGAAGAAGGACTTGTAGTTTTCAAGACTGACCTTCCAAAAGCCCTACCCTCTTCATCACTCGCTCGTCCTGCGCAAAACATCGAGAATCAACGGTTGTTGAGTTCGAACAAGAGATTTTTCTCGATTGAAGTTGTTGTGAAATTGTTGTAAAACGCTCGTGCAATGTAGGGTAACAGTACATTTGGCTCGTCTGAGTCCCCCACCACAAACATAAATATGGGTAGAAGCTTAGATTTTTAAAGGTATATATCAACAAAAATAACCCTGCTTCCGCCTGTTTTCTTCTCCTGGTGCTCTTCAATCACGGCCTTCAAATTCTTATGTTCCCATTTGACGGAATAGATTTTAAAAAAAAATAAAAGAAATATTTTCTCGATATAACTAAATATGGTAGTCAGCAAAATACACATGTAACGTATATGTAACGATACGTTCCATTTTTTAACTGTAACGGGAACGAATTCCTTTCTCACAGATGAAACTTGTAACGGGAACGCGTTCCAAAAATCAGGAGGAACGAGGAACGAGCTTTCGTTCCTATTTTTGAGGAACGTGTACAACACTGACGTGACCTTGGGGGGTCACGTGACCTGAATGGTCACGTGACCTTGGGGTGACCTTGGTTACGCCGACGCCGCTCAAGCCGGAAACGGGCACCTAAGAGCTGCGCTCTAAAATAAAAGATCGAGGTACGCCTAAGCATTCCTTATGAGTTGTGAATGCGGAAGCATGCAAGCCGCTCGTCCGCTCTCTTATTTCGTCTGCTGCGTATTTTTCGTCACCGGTCAGCGCGCGCGCTCTCCTGGGTGCGCTGACCTTGGCTGCTCCGTGTTAACGGCGCGCGGCGCGGACACGCAGCGCCATGAGGTGAGCGGTCGTTGAAGCTGACGCGCACCGCCCAATGGGAGCCTCGTTGACGCGCGCCAGCCAATGGGACCGAAGCTGCAATCCACCAGCTTTACTCCGCTCCTTTGGGATCGGGGAAATTAGCTACCGTTGTCTAGGCTTTTCGCGTGGTTTCGTAACTGGCAGCTGGCTTCACTTGGAGAAAGGATTTAAGGTGCCATTTGGTGCGGCTCGCTCCGTGGGACACTTTATGCTTTCGCATTAAGATAACTATATAAAACAAATATATGTTGTCCCATATGTCGGTACCGGTACAGCTTGAAAGTGATTGTACAATGAAAGAACACACAGTCGTATCGGTAGTATAACTTCTATGCTCAAAACGTAGACTCCTTCCGAAATTGCGCATTCTTCGGACAGGGCTCAGACAACGTTAAAATGTGTAACGCAACAAAGAACTAATAAGTTGACACGTCCATGATGGCACGTTCACTTTGAAACAGTTGCTTAAGGTTATACAAGCGCATGCGTCGGGCTCCCGTCTGTCCCACCATAGTACGGTGAAATTTCGAGAGCTATGAGGAAAGCGCGTGGTTTTGAAAGCTGTGTATTTTGTTCCAGCTGTACTCCGACTCTGGATTATATCCTGCTGTTCTTGCCTAGCTTATTATTAAGGCGAAAGCATTAACTGTCCCATGGAACGAACCGACGTCATCAGCTTTGAAATTACGCCATACGTTGGTCAAACGGCACCTTAAATCTCCTTTCTCTAGTTATCCCGACTTCTGATGGATTATGCTCCCATTGGCTGGCGCGCGTCATTAAGGAAAAAAATGTGCAACTGGTTTTCGTGCGGAGTAATTAAAAAAAAAACACAGAAGCCCTTTTCATGGCCGCGCAGCGCACGCAGCGCCCCGCCGCCGGAAAGAAAAAGGAGCGGTAGTGGCACAGCCAGAGGCCCAGAGCCCGTCCGGGCAGAGTCCAGAGCGGTTGCACGGCCGAGCTCGGCGCGGCCACTTCACGAAAGCGCTCGCTCGGCCGTCCGCCGGTGAAACGTGGCCGTCTACGCCACTACGCCGCCGACGAACTAAAGGAGCGGCAGAACGACATTCATGCTTTCGCATTCACAACTCATAGGAAGTGCTAAGGTGACCTCTAATGTTGTTCTTGATTTGTTTTTTCCCTCGTTGTGGGAAACTCCTCAGACCCTAATGCGACCAGACAGGTGCTGCCCGCAGGAAAGCTGAATGTTGAACGAGCCAGCCAAACGGATCAAACTCGCGGAACCTATCAAACAACGAAAGATGCCGGTTTTCCTTAGCTGATGTCGCCGCTCGCAATCGTTCCTAACTTGTCCTCTCTCTCTCTCTCTCATTTAAAGGTACAGCCTGTTCATTCGCTTCCCATATTCGCATCTCCGGGGGAAAATAAAGTAAAGATATCAGTTTGCATAATCCTATTGTAATACAGACCCAGCTAACCTTGCGATTTAGAATAAGGGTGGCGATGTGGGTTCCTAACTTGTGGTTCCTAACTTGTGGGTTCCTAACTTGTGGGTTCCTAACTTGATGTCGGTTCCTAACAAGAACAGCAGGATATAATCCAGAGCCCAGCACACGCATATTCGTTGCTTCGGAAAGCGATCAAGCCACATGCCATCAGCACAAACCCCGCAAATGGCACCGGTGAGGAACCCCTTTCTGTTATAGTTCATGCTTTACTCGTTTTCGAAAACCGCCTTCGTGGTTCGATGAAAGCTGAGCGACCAGATATTAATCACAGGGTGATTGATATCTGTTGAATCTGCTTGTTCTTTAATTGAATACCTTTGTGTTTTATTTGAATGTTTCCTGTGACTGCAGCAGAATGTCACTGGGGCTGAGAGCTTGTCAAGCCGTCTATCGCGCCTTTTATTCTCCGCCCCATCATTACCTGTAATGGGAAATGAAAAATAAAGCTTATTTATTTATTATTCATTTATCGGTGTCCGGTCCGCCTGCCGAACACCGACCGGTCAGCTTGGTGGCATAACGAAGCATGCAGGTAAGCTTTAAATTCGCCACCTGCGCGGCATGTGTGTGCAGTGGACGAGCCGTGCGAGCTGGGTTGCGATGACCTGTCGTACTGCACCCACTTCAACCGGCGCCCGACCGAGCTGTTCCACAGCTGCAACGCGCGCTCGGACAAGACGGCCGAGGCCGACGTGCGCCTCTGGTCCCAGGGTCTGATCCGCCTGCCGGTCATGGACATCCCCGTCCGCAACGTGTCCACCTGTCCCCCGGAGGCCTGGAAGGCCGTCGCCTGCACCCTCCAGCTCAAACCGTGCCACAGACACGACCACGCCAGTGCCATCTGCAAGTCAGTATCACTCACGGATAGAATCAGTCATAATGGATTTACTAGCGCGAGTATTAGAATAGTGTACGCAAAAGGTTTGCGCACCTCGTTTTGGGCTGGCACATGGCTATGGTGGTCTTTATTTGTGTGCGTGAAGCTTTTGCGTACTCTATTATAAATTCTCGATAGTAATAGGAGCGGCGTATGCTTTTGTGAAAAGCTGTATAGGGAGTATTTACTGGCGGCCATAGCTGTGTGCGCGACTGCTGAGCACGTGCTCACGGCGAGCTTCCACGGTTCTTTTGCCATGCGCATTCCGCACCATCAAGATCGCCGGTATGAGCAGGCTATTGATGTGTGCTCGTTCTGAGCATGCGCTCTAAACATCGCCCTCAAATATGGAGTCCAGTGAATACCCCCTGTTATCCGCAGTTTGCTTCGGTAACGCCCTCCAATGGTTCCTTCTCGTGACGTCATTATCTTGTAAGCAATAAGTTCGATGGTGTTTGTAATTAGCATGGTGGAGGCCTGAAACCATTGCGCTCTGAAACCAACACTGCGAACACCACCAAGCTTTATGCTTTTCCCTTACTTTTATTTCTGTCAATAAGAAATCCTTTGCTGATGTCATAGTCATCATTGGGCCAATCGTGGAAGGCCGACCACAGTGACGCTTTCGATCGCGCACTTTGCCAATAACATGTTTCATTGCTCGAGATAAAAGCTGTTTCCGAGCAAATTCCCGTTCAGCAAAAAGCTTCTGGTCTGTGTCATTAAAGAGTTTTAGGGAACCGTTTTTGCACATTTGATACGATACGGCGGGTTTCCCGGTACGAACTGCACTTGTGCTGCCGCAGAAGACTCCCATATGCGCCATTCGTACCGGAGGGGCCATGGTACCGTACCGGATTGGCAAAGACGGTTCCTTAAAACTCTGTGTTCAGCGTTCGCGCATATAGCGCGTTTTTACTTTCTTTCAAAAGTGAGGAACACGGGCGTTCTGGGGCTATTGGGATTGCACACTGGCTTCGACATTTTTAGCATGCATCGTGACGACGTGCTGTCGTACGTGCTAGTAAGGCTAGAAATAATACTTCATTAAATAAATTGCTCATCTACAACGTGATCTTGTCAGCCATATCTCAACGACAGCACGACCTCACGGTACAAAACGAAATGCTATAACATTTAAATCATTCCTGAAAACAATGTTGTTGTTTCGTTGATGTTGTTGCTATTGTTTTGTTTGTTTGCCAACCAAATTGTTTATGTGGTTGAACCGAAACTTTTGGTTTACATTGGGGTACTATATTTCGCGGGGTATCTCAACGGAAATACATAGGCTGGCAGCCGTACGTACCGTCCTATGGAACTTCACCGAAATGCGGATAAGGATTCGCGTTGACTTTGTTCGATGCGTTAGGACTCGAGTTCACGTTTGAAGCAAGCAATGAACAACACAAACAGTGCGGCGCAGAGATACGAAGTGCATGCTGAGCCGCTTTCCGCATCCTTTTCAATGGGCGGAATGCGAACAAAAAGAGATCGAAATAAGGACTTGATGCGGAAGGCTGGTTTTCATCAGCGCCTCATAATTTGACAAGCCTTACACAAAAAGCGTGTTTTTTTGTTTTTTGTTTTTTTATTTTGGCCATCCCGCGTCCCGTTTTTTTTTTCCTTTTTTTTTCTTTTTTTTTTCTTTTTTTTTTCTTTGTAACATGGGTCTAAACTAAAAACATGCCGAATAATGGTCTTACGAATGAAAGATAATGGTACGAAACCTTCTCTTGCGCAAGCAATTACGCAGTGACGTCACCGAAACCTCTAATTTATTTTCCCAGTTTCCTACTTTTGAGGCTTGTGTCCATTGTGCTTTAGCCTCCCTTACAAAAACGGGTCTCAACATTCTTTTTAATTTTTTTAGACTTTCTTATTGACTTTCCGCGATCCTATGAATTCCTTTATAAACGCACTTTCTTTTGACTATTGTCAAAAAACTTTCAAAAGAAAAGAATATTGAATTTTTGTAGACTTATTTATAAAAAATTAAAAAGAACTTGTGAAGACGTTCTTCTGTAGGTTATTTTCTAAAAAATTCAAAAGGAACAACAATATATTTTGTTTTGTAGTCTTATTTATAAAAAAATTAAAAAGAAGTTGTATCGACGTTTTTTGTAGGTTATTTCCTAAAAAATGAAAATAAAACTTATTCACATATTATTTCTTTATATTATTTTATAAAAATAGACATTTTTTTATTATTTTATTTGGTCTGCGGTCGTGTGCGGCGTCCGATATGACGGTTTTTTTTTACTTTTTATTGAAAATGTATTGACTTCCTGTTCACTCTGATTACTTTATTTTGACTGACTTCCTGTTGACATGGTCTGCAGAAAGTTTGTTGATTTTCTGTTGAAACATTTTTTATAATTTTCTTCTGCCTGAGTCAAAAGAAAAGCTATTGACTTTCTATTAACTCTACGTTGGATATTTTTCTGTTGACTTCCTGTTGAAAGTGTTATCAGATATACTGCAAACGTTCTGTTTACTTCGTGTTTAAATAATTCAGTTTACTTTCTGTAGCCAGTGTCAAAAGAAAAGCTACAGACTTTCTGTTGACTTTTTATTGAACATAATACATCTTGACTATGTCAAAAGTCACTAAGTTTCTCAATAGTCTCTGACAAGTTGAGAACCGTAGGCAGGACCTTCCGTTCTCCTGCCTCCAGCGGGAGCCTTCTATTCTTGACAACTCTTCGACGTCTCGCGCCCCTCGAGCTCGACTGCGCAGTCAAAGCACGACGGAAGGCATGGGGCGCGTGCTAGAGGCCAGGCGTTCGAAAAACACGCCCAGCCGTTCTCACTTTGTAAATGACTATCGTGACATTATTGACCCTATTCAACTAGTAAAGAAGAGCAAAATAACTATTTTAAAGTGGAGCAACCGCCGTAACTGGCTTCGTCCTGAGTGGTGCTATGCAGAGAAGCGATAACATTCGTTCTATGAGCCGTTTTTGTGGATGTTGTTTTTGCAACTACACGAAATTATTATTAGTTGTTCCAATGCTTTTAGTAAGAGATAGAGTCCACGAACTTTGAAACACTGTCTTCCCTTTGATAGACTTTTGAGAAGGAGACCGGAGACTTGGAAACTTAGTAAGTGCTGCGGTGGTCACCGGCCAAATGATTACCTTCAATATGTAGGCTATATAAGGCTCCGGTGCTGTCAAGAGGACAGCACCAGAGCCTTATTTAGCCTACATATTGAAGGTAATCATTTGGCCGGTGCTTGATGGTGTTTGTGTTTGTTTACATTGCTTATTTCTGGGATGTGTATCTACAAAAAAAGACACTATTTCCTAACGAAATTCAAAAATATATTTAGAAAAATTGAGTGTTTTTTTAAACGCTAATCTGCGGTTCCGTCAAAAGGAACTCAACAAAATTTATGTAAGAAGGAATTCAAAAGAATCTATGTAAGAAGGAATTCTAAAGGATTTAAGTGGCCAATTTTAACCAGGAGTTAAATAAGTTGTCAAAACAGAGTCTAAAAAACATAAAAAAAGTTTAAAAAGAAATTGAATACAACTCTAGAAAATTTTCAACAAAAATTCAAAAGAATTTAACAACAGATTTTTGTAAGGGCTCTCCCACAAGCCGAAGTGAGCCGATTGTTCACCTCCAAGAAACAATCTTTCAGATTCTGTGTGCCTGTGTATGGCTCTCCCTCTGTGTGTGTGTTCGTGCGTGTGTTGGTTTGTGTATCTATGTGTTTGTTTATATATGTGCGTGCGTGCGTGTGCGTGCGTGCGTGTGTGTGTATGTGTGTGTATGCGTGTGTGTGTGTGTTTCGCTGAGGCGCGCAGCTCTTCGTTTGGTAAAAAAACCGGTAGTGTAGACGGAAACAAAATTTTCCCTACAAAGTACCTTTCTTTCAGAAAAAAGAACTTCCACAAAGTAACTGAAAGCTATTCTGCTATTGCGCTAATTCTCTGAAATCACTTCAAAATTGTGTTTACGACTGACCATAAAATGTGGATGGGATGAGCAAACGCGTAAGATGCGCGTGTTTCGCAGAGACGACTGTGTGGACATCCTGAACCGCTGCGTGGACCCAAGCCGCCTCAAGGAGTTCCAGACGCCCTACACCCTCTGCGAAGCGCTGGCTCCTCCGGGGGAAAACCCGCCCTGCATCTCCCTCAGGCCTTACCTGGGTCAGTGCGGCCCTGCAGGCGATCATGCTCCTCGATGAACCTAACATTGCAGTCTCCGCTGCCTTCTTTGCATACAGAGATTTTCACCAAAAACTGAACATTATTTTAGGCCACTGGAAATTAGAATATGATACTTTCGGGATAACGTTAACGATGCAGGCGAATGTCAGATTGTGAGCATAAAATTACAATTAGCAATTTAATTATTTATAGTCCACGAAACAACTTTTTAGAAATATTGACAACAGCCAAAAATGTTTAGCTTCAAATATCTTGCCTGTCGTCAAAAAAATTGCAGTCAGATCGGAATACATAGTTTGTGCGTAGTCTGAAGATGTCGCAGCTGGTGATATAATTCCGACAACTATATTATGCTTCGCGCTACTCTGCGTGTAAATTTTAGCTCGGAGGAGATTAAGATATCAATACTGAAACAAACAGCATGACGGAAGTCCCACCCGAAAGTGAAGCATGGATACCGACTAGTTGTCAACCGGTAACGACACTTTACCTAGCGGTCGCGTAGCCCCTGAATAAGATCGCATCTTTCCCTCACTATAGACTGCTTTCGAAAGTCACGTGCCGATTATTAAAAGGTCCGAGCCACCGCACAATGGCGGAGCAACTAGCATCGTGCAACGTGCAAGTCATTCTATAAGATACCGAACGGTGGACCGAGGGGCGTATATCCGATCGCCTGGACGCGTATTTCCGATTGCCTAGGCCCTCAACGCAGCAAGGGAAAAAAAGAGGGAGAGGAGGACACCCTAGCAATAAGCATCGTGTAGATTGCAGAGACCGGTCGTTTCATTTTTTTTTTTTTAATTTATCGTCAGTTTTAGCGTTTTCCACGCTGTTCCTGCAATCCACCTTCCAAAGTGGTTTGAGCTACGGAAATCTCTTGCAATATTACCATTCTCGAGATTGTCGTTTTAGCAAGAATTTGTTTAAAAAAACTCAGAATTCACATCAACCAAAACCATGATTTAGCTCGGAGTCAGCGGGGCTGTTTATAACATTTTTATTTTCGAAGTTAATTTTAGCGTCTTCGAAGCTGTACGAGAATGATAATATTGTAAGAAATTTCTGCAGCTCAGGGCCGGGTTTAAGGGCGGATCGCATGCACAGTACAACATGTCTCTGCACTCTACACGACGTGTATTCAGAATGACACCAGATCACAGTCAAAAGCGTGTAAGCATCGAATTGGTCGATATTACCGATCAGTGGGGAAGTGAAGAAACACCGTTTGCATGATTTCTCGAGTGCGAACCGGTGAGCTTGGGGGATTTAGCAAACCGTCTATCAAAATGCTCCAGCTAAAAAAAAAGAAAAAAAAAAGAATGGTTCAAAAGTTTGGGAATTTAGGTAATTAGTTTATTATGCCGCGTTCGATAACATTATACTGAAGGAATCTATTATTTTCTTATTATTATTTATGTCTACACAGTTACATTGAGAAGATAAATTTTTGAAGAGAAATAATTTATGCGGTCTGTGTTTTTTTTAATTTTTACTGTCAAAATGTTTGTGCAGCACTTTTTGATATCTGAGTAAAGGGTCATAGCTAGAATTGTCGGAGGCCATGATATTTTGGGCGTGCACTCCGCGAATGTGTTGAACACGAGTTCGGTGAGGATCCAATGACTCGCTTTGATCTGCAGTATGCACAATATATGGCCACTGTCAATGCTGCTTGATTAGCTTATAGTATAGGAATTATTCTGAGCAGAATGGACGTGGGTTTAGTTTCCGTATAAAACCGATAGCCTCAGAGACAACTGAAATATTTTATTATTTTTTGGAGTAATGTGTCGGTATCTTTTAATATGTTTCCTATCGTCACATCGTTTGACCTCTTTCGCGCTTGATAAAGTGAGCGTTCCTCCGAAGAACCCAGGATCGACAAAAACAAGCAAAGCTACACGGTGTGTATAGAAAATAACGATATGCTATGGTTACCTAAGAGACCCAGTAAAACACTGAAACTCGTCGACATTACATTTCGGCTGAACTATCGGAATGCCGCGTCTGTTTCAGCAAGAATCGTCTTGTATTTTAGTATCCGGAGCATTCAAAACGCTGTTACTAAAACTCAAGAGCCGCCTTTGGGGTGCCAATATCCTTGCAATTGGGGGAAGTACATTTGTGCTCTAATAGCTCCTTTTGGTTGTTGATATTTCCACTTGGACGGTAGTGAACTACGCGGAGAACACTTCCCAGCCGGACAGAAGTCGGAAAACCGGTCAGTGGGATTATCGGCGGGGTTTGCAGCGAATAAAGAGACTGAAAAGACGTTCTGGTAAAAACACCTGGAACACTAACCGACTCAAACGCTAGCCCCGGTAATCCTGTGAGGATGACAACTTGCTATTGGCTAGCTTGGTTGAACCCATCGCAGTAGTTGAACCACTCTGGAGTCTCTGGCGAAAAAAGTGCGCATGTATTTTCAAGATATTGATTATAAATTAGCGATAATGAGGCCAGAAATATCGAGAGACAGTATGGGAGTAGTCCACGAAGGCCTGTGGTTTTACAGCAAGATTACTTGTTACGCGGTCATGGTTGACGATACGTGAATCCCCAGGAGAGGTAGACAAGTGCAGCTTGTTTATTAGCACTGCGAAAAATTTTTAAAAAAACGCGTATACCGAAATTACACTATTTAATCATATTAGAGATAACACGAATGCAAGAATACAGTGCAGCCATATGAACAATATACTATATTACCATATGAAAGCACCATATGACGTTAAATGAATTTACCTAAATGAAGAACGCACAGGTCAATTTCATGTTTGACCAAGGTTTTCTACCATACTTTTCCTGTCAGATAGTAAATAAATGGTATTGTTTTATTCTACCTGCTTTTAATAATTTCCCAATTGGCAATATATTAATTAAATGGAGGTGGCGCACAGCACCGACAATATTTTGAGTGTTTTATGACCATAATATGTGTACGAGGTAATGACGATTTTCTTGAAGCAGGTAAAAGTCTTAGATTGCGCTAATTAAACTGTCTAATTTTCAAATATTTATTCACGTGGGTCCTTTATATATGATTTTGAATGTGGCTCATATGGGTGCATATGTTTGTTTGTTTTTTTGTTTTCTTTTAGTAGGGAAGCGTAGTTTGTATTATGTTTCCAGTACGAACCGTCTCTTTCAAGCTGATGCGCCGTCGCATAAGAATTTAATGTGATTTTTCTTCCCAATATATCTGCAGAAATGAGCAAGCTGGAGGCCAACGTGCGTGAGGTCACTCATCCCTGCAGAGCGCACACTTGCAACGCCTCGAGCATATGCATTCTCAAGCGCAAATGCTCGGACAAGGACTACCCCTGCAGCAAGTACCAGTGCGTCTCAGGCAAGGCTTCCTTCCTCCTACCTCCAAATTGAAAAGAATATTGACACCAACGAACGTGAAGACTTGTTCTGTATACACATGCAACAAGCATTGTGAATGGCGGAACACAAGTATCGCCTCGATTAAAAGGAACACTCGAATACGCACATGGTGTAGACAAAAAACGCGAAACGTTTACGGTCTCGAGGGCCGAGAAGGCCTCAGAAGAGTTCTCCAACAAGGTATGAAGTTGGGATAGTGGGTGCATTACGAAAATTCGAAAACAGCGCAAAATACAGAAAGGACAAGAACGAGAAGTGAACATTGTTACGTTCACTTCTTACGTTATATACAAGTGAGCGAAACATTCGTGTCTCGAATGTCGCGTACCAGGCTATCTCCTTGAACTGGTAGCCGCGCTTAATTTAAAGCACAGATGTCCCGATGACTTGTGAGGTAAGCTTTCCTAACGTAAACTTACCTAAGAAAACAGGGCTATGTGAACCAGCCTTTAGAGTGATTACAAAGAGTTACCGTCACAAGCGTAGGTCGGAAACGCCCCAGTGGCAAGAGCATTCTACTTTGATGCGCAACGGAAAGCTACACAGACTAAATGACAAATGTCAGAAAGTTTGGTTGTAGAACTGGCAAGGGAACATGCCGATTCACCAATCCACAGTACAGGATGCACATCCCACCCAGCACGCACGCACGCTTTGGCCTTTCAAGAAATTGAGAAGAGCTCGTGCCTGATTCCCTCACACTGTGGATAGGTGCCTTTTACAGAAACCTGCAAATATTTAGTTTAACGGAGAGTGGCGTTTTTTATCTCTTCGTCACAGGGTGCTTAGTCGGCGAAGCCTCCAAGACGATTGTGCCCAGGGGGACTTTCGTTAGCATCCCGACCTTGGCGCACGACAGCAAATGCTCCATGGTGTGCCGCTGTTCCAACACGGGGACTCTCCAAGACTGCACGCCACAGCCTTGCACGGGAACTGACGAACCCTGCTGGCTCGGAGGCCGCAAATACCGTGCGTCTTGTTTTCATTTTGTTCCTTGTCTGTTTATGTGCTTTTTAAAGTGGCTCTTTTTCTTTATATATCGTATAATATATAATGCATGCGCATTCCAGGCTTCTGCAGCTCCCATAAAAAGTAGCCAGATTACTTATTATTGCATCACCTCAATCAAGAGGGCATTACTTCTTATAACTTGTCATTACGTCAGCATTTGTTTTTTATCTGTATCTCGAGGGAGATAACTTGAGTGATTTGACTACCTTTTTGTTGTAATAAAATTACTAATATTAGCGACGTTCAGAACCTACCCTAATAAAAACAAATATATTTTATTCTTGTTTGCGAAAGTGATGCTTGAAAACAGTTTGCTTCGCCCCGATACCATATATTTTGCTTATAGGAGCAAATATAAAGCGTCTCGTAACTGACCTTTATTGCGCATGCGGATGGCGCATCGCGCACCATGAAGAAACGACGAAGCAGAAGAAGCCCACGCTTTTTACTCAAGCTTGTGGTTTTTCTACCATTTTAAATGCTGACCGAATTTCATCTCCTAGGTCAATTGACACTTTGAGGCAAATAAACACTTTCATTGAGCCTGTATTCCGCGGTCCAACTGGAGGATCGGCACAACTGAGATGACCCCTTCACAGCACACAACACAAGGTTCACGGTCGACTGCAGCGACTGCTTCTGCGATTCCGGCAAGGTCACGTGCACCGCAGGGCCCTGTTCCTTGGACGACACCTCCAGACGGAAGGGCATCCTCGCGAGAGGCACGTTTTTCCTTCTTTGGCGGAAAGAATGCTCTACCTTCATTGATGCCTTCTACGGTGCCCGGAACGCGCCTCCGACTGGTGTATTTATCGTCCTATTATGGTTATGCATCCAAAGCGGACCCGAACTAGCAGAAAAAGAGATCACAGATACTGGAGTTTCATGCTGTCGGATGTTGCGATCCTGTCGGTTGAGCGCAAAAGTGCTGGCAAAAAGTGCACATGAGCGCGAGTGTCGCTGTCTTCGCGGTGTCCCAACTCTTGACTGCGAAAACACCTGTGCACTCTCAAGCTGGAAAGTGACGTGCGTTAGAACAGGTGCCCGCCACATCCACCACCAATGCAATGACACTGCCAAGGTCGTGGCCGGCAACAGCGTGACACTTCTGTGATGTCATCAGTTGAAAATCGAGGGACCACTTTATAGGACGTGGTAAACTCACCAGTCGCAGACGCGTTGTCGTAATGCCGTCGGTGCAGATACTCATGTCGACATTCGTCCTGTCTTGCAGGACTCCCGTGTAGCTGCCCGAAGGACTACTTTGCTGTGTGTGGCTCAAACGGCAAGACATACCCGAATGCGTGCCTCGCAAGGTATCTTGAACACAGCCATAGCGTTCCCCATAAGGCGAGGAGATAGCATTCACTTCTCACTTCCGCCAACCCCACAGGTGTGCCGGGGTTAGCCCAGATCACTTCAAGATCGGAGTATGCTTCGACATGGACCCGTGTGCGTCCAACCCCTGTCCTCGTAACACGAGGTATGACCCTTTCTCCGAGTTCCGAATCATTTCGCTGTCATTACGTTTGTCGCTCGACTCTCTCAACATTTGTCGTGTATAGTAGCGTGAAAACACTACATTACGCTTGTCAGTGACAGCTGCAAAAATAGGCATTACACTTATAAAACAAAAATTGAACTTTTAATTTAGCTCTCTATTATGAAGAAACTCAACGCTACAGGTTACCGTGAAATAATTTTACGGATCCACAGATTTTTAAAGCAACAGCATTGCTTAGAGGGGCTCTAAAGTGAAATTTGATATTGCAGTCAAGATTCACTACATGTTTTTTTTTTAATATCTCTATTACTGTATTAACCTTGTTTGACGCAAACTCAGTCTACAAGATCTAAGCAACCTGTAGGTCACAAATACTACAATCATATGTGTGATCATCCTCCACATTAAAAATGCGGTCCAACATCACGACCACGCCGGTCTTCCGCATATCGCTAAAGAAAGAGATCTAATGCGGTGTTTGTTGATGTGTTTTTAATAGGAAAAAGGCAACGCATGCATGTTGTGACTTTAGGATGCTTAGAGCTCGTACAACTTGCGCTACAAAATGGCGATATAAAATTCCACTTTTGTGCCCATTCCAGGTCATGCGTCATAACTTCAAACTCTAGATTAGGTATCGCGACCCGTCATCTACTGTCTTTTTTTTTTTTTTCAAAACATTGACCCAAATTATTTTGAATGCGGAAGCATTAACTGTCTCATGGAGCGAACCGACGGCATTAGCTTTGGAGCCGCGCCAAACGGCACCTATACTCCTCTGTCCCAATGGGGCGAAGTGAAGCCGATTTCTAACGGATACGCTCCCATTGGCCGGCGCGCGTCATCAAGGAACGCGGCCCCCATTAGCTCTCGTGCGGCGTAGTTTTAAAAAATGCCACCAGAGAGGCCCTCTCCATGGCGGCGCGGCACACGCAGCGGCGCGGTCGCCGGTAAGAAGTGTGGCGGTGCGGGCCTAGCAGCACAGCCCGCCCGGGCAAACTCCGGAGAGGCTGTACGGCCGAGCCCAGCGCGGCGCGGCCACTCCGCGAGAGCGCGCTGAACCGTCGGCTGGCGATACGTGGCCGTCCACATCAGTTTGCCGCACACGAACTAAGGCAGCGGAAAAAGACATTCACGCTTTCGCATTCATAACTCATTGTTTAGGTGTCCTCTGACTTTTTTTTCTAACGTTCTTTCAGGAACCCTGTCTTACGGAGGTGCGTCGTTCATCAAACAGTTACATAGCTCAAGGATCAGACGTAGTTCATTAACGTTGCGTCAATTATGGCTTAGGTGGTAGCGCACTAGAGGCACCTAATCCTTACTACGAGTTCACTACAATATTTGTAGTAGGATGTCGGACTGAAATAACTTTTCCGGGACACGGGCGAATAAGGGAGATACCCAGTTCTTAAAACTCGCTGAAGGATAACTAAGAAAGACCCAAACTGAAAAATAAACAACGTACTTGGTAAAGGGAACCGCGATGGTCACTGCATTGCTCAAGTATCTCGAGAATTGCAGTGACCATCGCGGTTACTTCTTCAAAGTACCATCGCGGTTAACTTTAGCATTGAAAAGCTAAAAGAACTGTAAATAATATAAAAAATGAGAACTTCAGAGTTACTGGAATCACAAACAAAATGAAAGTCAGGAACAAACCCCTACCTTTGTACATATTCGCAAGGCGTGACCAGCATTGCATTGAAAATATCAAGAAACTGCGGCAAAATATTCTTGAAAGTTTGAATTTCTGGCTCAGGGAAAGCGTTTGCGAAACATAAACCGACTAAATTGGCGTTTTGCGCTTTAAGAACAAAGGGAGTCAGGATCCCACCTTGGATTCCATAAATGACCGCCCTGTTCCGAACATGACTCACTTAATTCATTGTGTTTAGAAGAACCACACTGTCGTGTGAAATGCACGCATCCTCTTTCTATCGTTTACTTTTCAAATGCTTTTCAGATGCATTGTAAACAGAAAAGTCTGCCTGGTCCTCGGATATGATGTCTGCAAGCAGTACATTTGTGGTGAGTAATGCAAGCAAGGGCCGGTCCCAGAGTAGTACTTACGGCGAGCTTATGAAGCCTTTGTTTAGTCCGCAGTCACATCGCTCGTGTATCATACAAAAGAATCGGTGTTCGCTGCATACACATTTGCTGACACTCCCCAAGCATGTTCGAATGTGTCTGCAGATACCAGTGAGACCCTCCTACAAGACGCCTCAGGCAGTGTTTTGGATGGTGTATTAGCTATGTCAAAGAACAAGGTTCGCAGCAACCTGAGATGGCAGTCAAAGCATCCTGGCAAAACGACCGAAAAACAATGTATACATTTTTTTTTCTGTGGCACCTGCTTACGATTAATCGATGATACGAAGAAAATAATATTCCTCCGGGGTTAATTTTGTTCTTGCACCTGCTACTCTACGAACATCAGTCTCTCCCCTCGATGAAAACGTCTGTGTATATTCAACTCATACTACGCGGCTTGTGCCGACCAAAGCGCCTACTGGAAGTGTTTCGTTACGGGAGCAAAGCTTTGAGGATGAATGAAGAGTATCGTCTTTCGTTCCTTTCAGTGAGCCCCAACAAGAACTGTCGCCAGGAGCCCGCAGAGACTGTGTGCGACACGAAACACCAGGAACACTACAACCTGTGCATGCTCTTCAAGAGGGGCAGCTCCTTGGCGCACTTTGGAAACTGCGAGGTTGGTCCGGGGTACCCGTGTTTTTACAGCCACAGCTGTTCGTGGGAGCTTCCCCGGGGCATAGGCTGATCTCAACAGGCTTTTTCGTTATGCTGCCACTTTCGGCGTGCGTCGTGGGAGCTGTAGTCTTTGTGGGCCAACCCCGCTGTGGGTCTGCACGAGCCGAGCACGAGGCGGCACAAGCTGTCTCGTCCACTGCCACCCCGACTACGACGCCACAATGATAGCGAACTACGCACGTGCCGAGCTGCTATCACTGTGGCACACGTTACGCAATAGCGTAAATGCACTCGGATTTATATTTTGTGTCATTCTATGTTGTTGCTAAATAAGAAAGTTGTGCTTCCATTCCCGCCGTCGATGTTTTATCATTTCATGTATTTGTATCTATTCACCAACACGCTTGTTTTCAATTATTCTTGAAGACACTTCTTTAAAACGATAAATTGGCTGCTGACGCACAGTGAATAACTTTTTTTCACAACATTATTGTGTGGCCGCTAAGTGCTGTGAATCAAAGAAATGGCTCGGTCTATTTTGACACCAATACGCTTTAAGGCAGGTTCACACATGCAGCGGAGCGCTAAGTTAGCGCTTCGTGAGCGCTGGAGTAGCGCTCGTTTGGCAATGACTTGCGCGTGACGTAGCGCTCGGTTAGCGCTTCAGAAGCGCTCCAGTAGGCGCTCAGTTAGCGCTTTAAAAGCGCGGCACATTGATACTTTAGACCCATGTTGTTGTAAAAAAAACTATCTCCAAACTCTGGTCTAAAAACATGCTTTTCGTGCAAGGCTCGTCAAATTATGAGGCGCTGGAGAAATGCAGCCTTCTGCGTTAAGTCCTTATTTCGAACTCTTTTTGTTCGCCTTCCGCCCATTGAAAAGCATGCGGGAAGGGCCTTAGAACGCACCTGGTATCGCTGCGCCGCAGCGTTCTTCCGCATCAAAAAGTTCGTCTGCTTTCCTCGTCGTCACCATGGCAACGAACACCGAATGAATAGAAGCACGCACGGTACCGCCGCGTGAAGCCAGCAACAGCTGACGCCATTTTACGAACGCCGTCTGCTAGCCAAAGCCGAACGCGGTGTGTCAGATCAACCGCCTCCGCCGGCGCGCCGCAAGCAAAGACGACGAAGCTGAGACACGCCGACGGCGATCGAGCAAGCAACAACACCGCGGGACGACTGCAACGGCGGCATTTATTCGGATCAAAGCGCTTCACTAGGCGCTTGGTTAGCGCTTCAGCAGCGCAATGTAAACTCTGGTTCAGACAGTTGCGTTTGACTGCGTTTGACTGCGTTGCGGCTGCGAGAAACCAGGACATCCCTGCTGCTTATATCGCGTGCCAAGGAGATTCATTGAATTGCATTCCACGCTTCATGCGAAGCACAGATGTGCCGGTGACTCGCTTTCGGTGCTCGATGCAACGCAGTCAAACGCACTCAAACGCAAGTGGGCCGTGCTTGGGCCGTGCTTGCTGCTGTGGAACAGCGCGTGCACGGCGATTCCGTTGCGGTTGTTTTTCCTTTGGCATTGAAAGAAGAGGAGGTAAAAGATTCGCTCCCCAAGCAAAGGTGCAGTCAACTAGAATAGGAGTAGTGAAAAAATAGCCGGACTCCTGGTGAGGCGCTTCGTGTAGGACCTACCAGGTAGCGCTGGTGTTCGATTCCGGAGCATTCCTGCCAACGAAGTTCGCGCCAAGCGTAGCTGTATTTGATCTTAGCGGTTCATTAGTGTGGCCTATTTATGCCTTTTGGGTGTTTCAACGTCTATGAATTAATGTTTAACGTTTACTTGGGCAATTAGTAAAAACCGGGGTAAATAGTGTTGCATGCTGGCGCGTAGCGGTGCGCATCTGTGTTCTTTCTCTTCGTTTTTATTGCTTAACGACAAGACTCAGACCTATCTAATCAGAATGCCAAGCACTCGACATTCACGAAAACAAATTTTGAAAACGCCCATAGACACCACGAAAACCATCTGAGTACGTACGCGACGCCATATCCCATGTTACAGTAGTCATGTCCTCCGGATTTCGACAACAGCGCCACTCGCGGCAGTTTACACTTCTGGCTTCACACGGCCGATGGGGCGCCGCCGACGCTTTTTCTATTGCCCTTATACTCTAGTTCACTTTCGCGTCTATTGCAAGCAGGGCGCCTCACTAGGGCCCCATGCGTGCAAGCATGCGCAGCGTGCGCGTGAACGTAGTTTTGGAGGCTTGTAATTTGGAGGCTTGTCCGCAGGAGCAGACACATGGCGGCAGCCATATATGCCCTGCTTGCAATCGTCTAATGGCGGCTAAATGTTTTGGTAGCACCCGTCTATGGTTTCTTCTCCTGACGGCATTACCTTGCGAACAACAAGTTCGATTGTGTTTGTAATGAGCATGGTGGAAACTTCAAGTTATGGCGCTCTGAAACCAACACTGCCCACACCGTCAAAATTGAAGTTCTTACGATACTTTTATTTCCGTCGTTGAAAAAGTCTTTGCTGACAACATAATCAAAACATGGCCAGTCGTGAGAAGCCGACTACTGCGACGCTTTCGATTGCTCGCGTCGCCAATAGACCTTTCCAAAAAAGGGCTCTTGGCTGGTTCTAATAATAATTGGGTTGTGTGTGTGTTTATACAGCCTAGAACTTGGTCTGCCTCGCAGGGGCGACGAGTCTCCCAGCTGTAGATGAGCAATTTAGCCAGTGCGGTACAACCGCTAGCCTGGGGTCTTTAACGTGCATCACGCAGTAGTGATACACGACCGCACGCCGATACGATGCTCATCCAGATCGAAACGGGCAGGGGTGGGGCTCGAACCCAGGATCCCTAAGTTCTGCAGCGCGAGCTTTCGCTCCACGTGCTCCGTCTTGGCTGGTTCTCTTTTCAGTGTTCGTGCGTATGACGCGTGATTTGCTCGCTTGCCGAAGCGACGAACATTTGTGTGCTAGGCTGAGGACTTGTAAATATTGGAATGGTGTATACGCTCATATTTAGTGTGAAGCAAGCGCATGCTAAAATCCTTGGATCGTGAGAAATTAGCGCCGAGCTCACCGTATAGTCGCCATTTGGGCTCTGGAATTGAGCAGTTCATCCTTCACCCCTCTATTCTTGGCGAGCCAATCAAAATTCGCTGGGAACGTTTAGCGTTATACAAAGTATTCACTGGCGTCCATAGCGATGTGCGCAACTGCTGAGCGCGTGCTGACGACGAGTTACCGCTGTTCTTTTGCAAAGTGCATTCCGCACCATCAAAATTGCCGGTCTTAGCAGCCTATCAATAAGCTCGTTCTGAGCAAGAGCTCTAGACATCGCCCTCAAATATGGCGTTCAGTGAATACTCCCTATTGGGGAGGAGATCGAACAGACACGCCTCTAGCGGCACGCTTCAGCTGTGGGGGCAACAAACTGAACTTTCTTGTTTGTTTTTTATCAGCGATGTCGAAGGTGACGATTCGAAGGCCGCTCCTCGTGCGACCAAAGCACTGGTCAGAGCGAAGCGCTCGTGTCCAGGCCGTGCATGACGAGGTTCAATTTCTTTGTTATGCTGTGTTAGTAAACACCGGGCTGTGGGGACAACAACCTCGATAAAGTGCCCCCTATAGTTGATCTCCTGCCCAATTAGCCAACGTTGCTATTAGAGGGGAGGTGTTTTTGGTTGTGCCCTCGATTCCCTCTCGTGACGTCGGTACCTTGCGAACAACAAGTTCGATGATGTTTGCAAGTATGGTGGAAGCCTGAAATCCTCGCTTTGAATTCAACACTGTCAACACCTCATTTGCTGACGCAATAGTCAGCATTAGGCCAGGCGTGAAATGTAAAGCTTCTCTATCCTAGGAAAAGTGGTTCCATTCATTGTTGTAGAAATGCTCGAGGCACGTGCCGCGCGCCACTTCTGGGAAATTCACGGCGTCCGAAATCTAGCTCAGTGCTGCGTTGTGCCACCATGCTCTCTCCATGTTGCACGTGCCTCGTGCATCGACGCGCGTTGCGCAACTTTTGAAACATGAAGGAGCTTTTGTGGAACGCCAACCACAGCGACGCTTTCTGTCGCACTCGTCACCAATAGAGACGTATCTTGTATAGGAGGTACTTACTGTACGCCATATTTGAGGGCGATGTTTAGAGTGCATTCTCAGAGCGAGCTCACATTAATATCCTGCTAAGACCGACAACCTTGATGGTGCTAAATGCACGCTCAAAAAGGACTGCGGAAACTCGCCGTCAGCACGCGCTCAGCAGCAGCGCACACGGATATGGCCGCCAGTGAATACTCCCTATGCCCATATTTTTTTCGATTCACACACCCGCGAAACAAGCGTAAATCTTTGTACCGCTACCACATGCGATGTCGGTGCTTTGGGGCATAGAAACGTTATTTTCTTGTCTTTAACTACGCAGCATGATGAAGATCATTCAAAGAAATCCGTGGAGATGGGCATGATTAATCAGGTGATTACATACACATTGCCAAAGACGATTAAATTGGCGAGAAACGCATTCAGTACGATGATGCTCCGTAGCTATCTTGGTGCGACTGGTTTATAACGACCCTCTCGAAGATTCGAACATATGAAGGTGCCAAAGTGGCGATTGCCATGGCAACGGACACCGATCAGCCAATCACCTTGCGAGGTTTCGGTCGTCTGTATGTTAGTATATGTTTGTGTCCGGCTATGGCAGCTAGCAGGCAGGGAAGGCAATGGTGCAACTTTCCCAGGATCCGGTGACTTTAGCGCGTGCCAGGTGCCCAAAATGCGCGCGTGAAGTGCTGGAACCAATGTTTTTAGTCAGTTTCCTAGCTTCCTAGAACGCTTGGTGCCTTTTCGTGGTGCGTCTGCTCGGTGGCGCTCACTACGCTATCAGCGCTGGATGGATTTTATAAACAAGTATCGCCAAGCTGGTGTGTGCTTGGACGCGTTTAAGCAGAAAATGGCAGAGCGTCGCCGCCAATCTAGTTTGTCGCGGCAGCGCAGCGCCGGCATCAACAGTAGACCAATAGGAGCGTGCTTGCAAACGGCGGCGCGTCACCGGCAGCCACAGCAGACCGCTAGAAGCAGGCGCGTGTCGATGTGAGATGAGACTTGAGCTAAAAATGGCGACTCGTGCCCGCATTGAATAGGAGCGCCCGCGGCACGATCAAATGATCGCGGTACTTGGGAGAGTCAGGATATCCAACACTTTCTATGAGCCCGTTCATTGGACAAAAGTATCAGAACGGGTCAAAGGTTGGATACGCATTGCCCATGGTGGAAAGTAATTCTATTGTTTTTATGAACCGGAAGTTTTCGCAATAAAGAGCGTCGTTCGAAAGCCTTCCTTCTCTGCTGCCTGTTGAGGCGTTACTGCTGGTGGTGCTAAAAGCGATCTCTACCCTTACATACCCGCGTGTAGGCAACAGCGAAGAACTGTTTTCGAAAGACGCTCGTCTGTAGAGCTTGTCAACTGATTGATAGAAGAAAGTTGGTTCAACGACGCCACCACCGTGAAATGGCGTCAAAGATATGAGTTTATGTGTAAACAGAAATGATCGTGGTGAAGACATGTTTTAACTTATGTAATGACACTTGACTTTCAGCAACAATGTCAGCAGCACGGCCTCGTTTGCGGCATCGACGGAGAGACGTACAAGAGCGAGTGCGAGGCCAAGGCGCAGAGGGTTCTCGTCGACTACCGGGGACCCTGCCTCACAGTCGCTGTGCAGGGTAAGGAGATCGGCACGCGCAAGGGCTCCTCCGACGACGAAATGGTTTATTTGCACACGAGCTTCTGTAACAGCGATTTCCAGTTGTCATCCTTTCGCGCTCTGGGATCGCCCTTAATTGTCGGTGTGCTCGTTTGTCAATGGGCCATCAGAAACCACTCGAATGATTTCCGTTCGTTGTTTTGGAGCCGTTCCGCTTCCAGACTTGACCCAGATCCCGAGAAAACCCGCTCCGCGGAAGTCGACGTATTCGTCCGGAATTCAACATATAGCATGTCGCTTCCTGTCTCGCTGAACGCTGCGGGAAGAAGCCATCGTGTGTATTGTGCTTTTAACTTTGTGCGCGGTGGAGCATCGCTTCTATGAACTTCCTACGTATAGCACAGTTCAAGAATTGCTACAGGACAGCATTCACCAGTGACACATTTTGGAAAAGAACAAGATAAGCATTTTTTTGCTAGTCTGGAGGCGGAACTGCTCAGGCTGCTTATCGCTCGCGGCTAGAGCGTCTAGGACGAACCGTGAAAAAAAGTTGTTTATGTTGTCATGTTTTTTGTTGTTTTCGCCAGCGTACCGAGCGGTTGTGTTTTGGCAACGTCCATCTCTAGAGTAAACGCGGTAGGCGCCGACTGCACCGGCAAACGTTTTGTGCAGCGTGCATAAGGCCGAGCTGATATTCTTAAAAATTGCGACGACAGGTCTAGCTTTCGCTTTGATCAAGCATGGCATCGATTAAACGGTGTAGCCCAACTAATCGCCGCCCTTTACTCGAATAATTAAGGTATTATTCCGTGTTATTCCCCGACATAATATTTTGAAAACAGCGGAGCACGTTTTGCTTTCACTGATTTGTATTTTTCTCTGACAAACGGCAAAATGTTGAGTTACAATTAGAGATCGCCTTTGATGTACAGCTGAGAAGTGTCCAAAGTCAGTTACAGATTATTGGTCAGCTCCACACATGACCTCAGGTGCCTGTTCACAACCGACTGCGCCAGAAAATCAATGGATGCAACACTGCGCTCGTTGCATTATGGGACATCCATGGCCATGGAGAGGAGTGGCGTGGTTTCGGTTTCGATTGTCTAGTTGACAAGAGAGCGAACCTTAGCAATGAATAAAAATTAGGTCAGCGCACGCTCGCATTACACCCTTTGCTCTTCGTGAGAGTTCTCGTTTAAACACGGACCGTAAAGACCTGCTTAGGCTTACCGAAGAGTAGGTATACGGCCGGCCGCGTCCCATACCTTTCTGGCGGTCTGGCTACCCTTCCAGAGTGCAGTATGACCCTCCCGGCTCACGCATAATTTCAGGAGCTTAGGACACTGAGGAGGCAATAAAACAGGATGATTGGCCCACTACGCTCCTTCTATCCGCTATCGTAGTTCTGTGTTTGCTTGCGCACCAACTCTGATACGTCGGTAACCTCCAAAAACGTGCCCCATCATTTTATCCGCATTGGTAAGCAACACCAACACTATCATAGATTTTAAGAACTGTTACATATTCGAAAATACGATCACTTTATTTCGTTGTGTCGGGATGTCGTAAAGTTAGATTGGAAAATTGAAACTGAAACTATAGTCAACGGGATCCCAAGATGCCTTGCGACAAATATGTGCATCATTCATCCACTCAACTCGAACTCAAAACAAGCGGCTACGTGGTTTGGTGCCTATTCTATGCCGCCAGCGTTAATCATATCCACGCACTGGGGTTGGCAAAGTAGAAAACGCGTGCTGAGCTCGAGGCATTGTTAGAGTTCGGCTATTCCCCCCCCCCCCCCCGCAGTGGTTGGACACGAGTCACTACCTGATTGTCGGCCGAGGCACTAATTGTTCCGAGCCGAAGTCGAGTGCTCACGAAGGTTCTTGGGCCCGATCCATGTGCCGCACTCGACTATCGTCAGGCAGATGCTTTCGATCCCACAATCACGTCATCGAGCTTCGTGAAGGCAAGACCGAAATATATAGTCCGCTTTTATACTCGCGATTTCACCGCTACAAAGAAGCTTCTGAATCAGTGGGGGTTTGTGCTAGAATACGTGGTCCAGACTAGGACCAGTACGCCTCTGCAAAGTAACGAATATTTCCACCCGATATCGTTTCCTGACCCCTTTAAGAACTGTGACCGCAAGATCTGGTTCAGGGGCTTGTTTTGATCCGCAGATCACGATCCAAATTATAGAAGGTCGAGAGTAACCGACAGAAGTGCTTAAGGCCTCGGTCGGGCTTCTCTCTCCTCCCGCAGACTACCCTGAAGGGGTCAACGACCGTCTCAGCTACTGCAGCAAGGTCCGCTGTGCTCCTCTGCCGTCCAAGGCCTGCACTCCTACCATGCTTCGCGGAGTGTGCTGTCCCGTTTGCGGTGAGCCATATTCGCCCCTCGCACCACGGACAAGAGTGATGGCGCGCTCTTTGTTGTAGTCGCTGTTTCCTGGGAACTATCGAGTGAACCGTTCGTCCTCGTACAGCAGATGAAGACTAAGGACGCAGTCACGCTGCTGAAGACACAGTGGTCGCTGCGCATGTTTAGGACATGCCTGGAGACAGCTTTAAAGTGACAGCTGTTAGTGGGAACCTCCCAGGGAAATTGCACGGTTGCCCTTCGCTAAACCTCCCGGTGACGTCATTAACCACATCATTACTCCCAGCTGCTCCCGCCACCGCCAATTTTATAAGAAACGAAAAATTTCCACTGTCAGGAAAAAAACAACATCCGAAGCAGCGGCACATGCATGGTAGCAGTCGTTTGCTCCACAGTTTACCGCTCTATCAGCTGAGCTATCGACAAGACATATGTGATTGAATTAAAGGGTTATACATTTGATTTATTTCTACTTTTCATAAAGATTCGGCGTCATTCAATAGATAGCGTAAAGCTATCTCATTTTTTTATGCTCTCTGAATTTTTATGAACTTTGCTGTATTTGCCCTTTAAACCTTTCCTGCTTGTACCAGCAATTGGTCTTCAGGATGCCATAAATAAAATAAATAAATTCGCAACAGAACCTCCTCCCCTCGCGATTTACCACAAAGGATTCCTTTCAGTCCACGAATACTAATATTTTGAGGCCCTACACGCAACCACAAAAAAGAAGAACCCATAACAAAAATTGTCATTAGAGCATGCACGTGACACGCTCCACTTTTGAATAAATATATAAACTTTTTCCTGTGTCCACTTTATCATAAAACGCCCAAAGCTTTCGGTAACCAGGCATAGCAGATGATAACGGAAGCATAATGGGTTCACGACCCATTCTGTGGTTTCTGGATTTATCAAAACAATAAAGACAAAAGTTTCTTTTTGTATTTGATATTAAGTTTTTGGCGCTCGTTCCAGCCACCTTGTTTTCTTCAAAGCAAAGTGTCGGTCCTTCAAGCAGGTTCGAATCCCGGCCGAGGTGCCTGCAGTCTGACGGAAGCGCGGGGAAGGCGCCGTGTAATCGGTTCTACGTAAAACTATCCTCAGGTGGTCAAAATTCATCTTCACCCCTTCATCGGGCCAGGTGCCATTGTTTGTTTTGAACGTAAAATCCCAAATTTGGACTTCAGCGCTAGCTTGCACGTTTTGTGTTGTAATAAAGAAAAAAACAATTGCACCTTTCTGTTACCTCACTCGCGATATGATGTCAGCGCTCCTGCTTAGCAGGGCGACGTTCGCCACGCTTACTTTAACGCGTTGACGGATCAACCCAAGTCCGGGCTGTTCTTTTTTGAGCCCAGTTTAGAAATCTGGTGGTGGGAAATGAAACTAAACGATTGATTAACGTCTTAAATCAAAAATGCTTTGATGCAAATTAAAACAACGTTTAAGTGTTTTCAAACTTTCAGCTGCGTAATATTAAAATGTTATTTTTAAATTCTACTTAATTAGCCAACAGGTCGTAATCGTTGTTGTTTCATTCATGTTCTCCGTGTCTGAAAAATTCTAAGTGTGAACTGAACTCCTATAATGATTATAAAGTAAATGTATCATTACAACCTCCACTTTTTTTTCTTTCTGTCTATAATTAACTATTCGTATCGATTAAAATCAAGCACCCTATATGCACCCAAACACTTATGCACAGTAATCGCGAATAAGTTCGACGAGTTAGTATTCAAATATAAAGGCCAAAAAGGTTCCGTTTTCATATATTCCTTTATTTTTATAGACGAGGAACACGTTCGTATACTGCCGTTTAACACACGTAACTCGTGGCAGGCTTTATAGTTTTCTATACTCTCCATCTTCCTCTTTCTCTCTCTCTCTTTGTAAAGTGCCTTATTCAGATCCTAGGTATCCAAAATTACGGATCGTTAAGAAGTGCCTAGCTAGAACTGTCGAGCACGTAGCATAACGCCAAGCTTCCTTTTCCTTCCGTTAAGCCAGGGTCAGCCTGCTTATACATCCTACAAAAGACAGTCTTCGTACAGATTCAAACGCGAGCCGCCGCGAGATTCGTGCTTCGAATGCCGCATGGTAATGAGTTCAAGGAGAAACTTTGCACGCGGCATTCGAACCACAGCTATTGCGGTGACTCGTGTCTGCAGACTGTATTTTGTATGATCTGTGACCACGACTTTAGGGGTTCTTTTATCTCTGAGATAAACATCGTGGCTGTGGCAGCTACTAGAAAAGAAGCGAAATATGTTATATAAGAGGTATTCACTGGACGCCATATTTGAGGGCCATGTTTAGAGCGCATGCTCGGAACGAGCTCCCATCAATAGCCTGCTAAGACCGGCAACCTTGATGGTGCTCAATGCACGCTCCAAAAGGACTGCGGAAGGTCGCCGTCAGCACGCGCTCAGCAGTAGCGCACACGGATATGGCCACAAGTGAATACTCCCTATAGTTTAGTTAAAACCGAAACTGAGGGGGCCAGTTGCATAAACGGCATTTCATGCTACTGGGCTCGCACAGTAACTAACTCAACCGCCGTGGGACGGTAGGATAATCAACACCGCCATTATTACGCCAAATTTCTTTCCCTCTACTAATCATGCCTCTGTAAGAGCGTAAGGTGCTTTGCTAAAACTGCGGTATAACTCTGACCACTTTTGGTGCAGGTTCAGCCCTGCGGATTGGTTACAACGAAAAGCTCGCAAAGCATGCCGTGAACGCTGCAAAAACAGACCAGCCAATGACCCTCCGTGAGATTCTGGAACGACTCCGTGAACAAGTGTACACGTCCGAGTGCGACCTCTTCGGCTATTTAGACCTGCGCTCCAACATCATCGTCGTCGTCGTCCCGGTGACCAAGTACCCTACCAGCCTGCAAGTCATGGCGTGTCAGAAAGAAGCACAAAAGCTGGACACGCTCATCCGCGCCAGAAGCCCGCGGCTGCTCAGTCTGCTATCTCTGTCTGTGTTCACAACAACGGCGGAAGTCCACGAAGAGACAATGTCATCTGACACGGCCGGGAGGTCTCCGGGTCTTGAAGTGTCATGTCTTCTAGCCCTCTTCTGGAGTATGGCAGCGGTCTACTTGACGGTACCTCTGTGATCAGCCTGAAAAGTGAGACGTGATCTTCCCTTCAAACGGCGGAATAGAGTTGGGGGTACTCTGAGTGAAGCCGCCGTGAGTGAAACGCCGCCGTGAGTGAAACGGCGGAATAGAGTTGGGGGTACTCTGAGTGAAGCCACCGGTATCGCAAAAGACTGACTGAAATGAACAGTCCCCGGTTTGAGAACACGTACGTGTTAAACTGTGGAGGGTGAGCTTGACATTACAGGCCACTGTTCAGTGCCTTGCTAAACCCTAGGTAATCGCAGAGGGTCGTGACACTGTGTGGTTGGAACTGGTCCTAGTGCGTCGAAGACCGTGGGTAGCGTGAGTTCGGCCGATCTAGCACAACTATAACTTCTGGAGGCACGCTTAAAGAGACAAGGGCTGTGTTCAGGCTGGTTTACACTAAAGTAGCTGGATCGTGGAAAGGTAGCGCCCAGCTCCCGTACGCCGCCGTTTTGGCTCATGAAATAATCAATTTTCCCTTGACCTCTCCATTCTAGGTGAGCCGATCAAAATTCGCTGGTGGCAGGTAGCTTTATAGCGACGTTTCTTTTATACTTTTATACCGAGATTTCGCTATCCACACAATGGCGAAACAAGCGTACACATTTGTACCACCACCACGTGCGGTGTTGGTGCTTGGAGGCATTGAAAAATAATTTCCTGTTTTTAAATACGCAGAAGGAACAATAGAATTGTAAGAGATTCGTGGAGATGAGCAGGACTGATAAGTTGATTGCATTCACAGGGCCAAAGACGCTTATATTAGTGAGGAACGCCTTCACAGTGATGATGTTTCATGGTTATTTTGGTGCGACTGGTTTAGAACGACCTTCCCGAAGCTTCGAAGGTATAAGGAGCCGAAATGGCAATTGCCATAGCAATGGAGACCGATGCGAGGTTTTGGTCGTCAGTATGTCAGTATTTGTTTGTAGCAGGCAGGGAAGGCAATGACACTACTTTCCCCGGGATTCAGTGACTGTAGTTCACATAGCCTTGTTTTCTTACGTTACGTTACGTTACCTTACGAAAGCATACGTCTGCTTACGTTACAAGTCTCCGGAACATTTGGGCTTCATAAGTGTGGCTACCAGTTCAAGCTGCACGTGACCTTCGCGACAAAAATGTTTTGGTGACTCATACGTGACGTAGGAACAGGCAAGAAAACTGTGCTGTGTGAACCAGCCTTTGGCTTTAGACATGCGTAGAACAAAAGGCCGTTGACTTGTTCAACAGAAGAAAGAAGCGACCTGCGTAGGAAGTGACATGATCTAGCCACATATGGTATTGCTATGCACCGTCCTTGGGTCGGGGCGCGTGTTCTTCAGACGGCGTAGGCCTCGATGCCTCTAAAAACTTACCCCCAATCATTTGCCGTCTATTCAGACTGTAGCCATGTCAAAACAAATTACTCACGCCGATAAATGTTCAAAACTGCGTCAATCTTGAGGGAAGCTTGTATCCCATTTTAAATACATGAAGGTGGCATCGCAGAAATGCCTCCTAAATATGTTTTGAGCATTACGAGTGAGACTAAAATGATCATAGTACCAAAGATGACATTAGCATGTGTACAGCGCTCACCTGGTCATGCTAGTGCAAGCGCGAGTCTGATTATACGTCTCGAGTTAAAATGCAATAGCGGGACTTTCTGCAACCTTCTCTGTATATAAATGTACATACCGGCACAAAGGTAATGTAATATATTTTCTCTCGTGATATTTAAGGTTCTCCAATAAAAAGATAGAGTTATGAATAGGGTGTCGAGGGGATCGTAATAACTTCCCTATAGGAAACAGTTTGGTCTGCATATACATTCAACAGATTACTTTTCTTCCATGACGAGCAGCGATGCGCACTACTTAAATATTTATTAAGTTAGTACCAATAATTATGCTCAACTGGTCAGATTTATTACGCCCACGCTTGAAATCATGAGAAGGTGGTGCTATGCGACTTTGTTTTCAGTGTTCTCGCAAATTAACCACCTTGCAAAGCAGGGAACTCTAAGATGTCGATTGAGCACCCGGTGAACCATGCAGTCGATGGTGAGTGTCGCAGAGCGGGTGTTGATATGTGGATTACTCTGTCGCTGAATTGGAGGAGCGGAGACTGCAAAGGACTCTAAACTTGACGAACCAATCCAGGGCCAGTGACGTGACCGTTCAAGTCCTGCCCTCCCTATGTCCTGTCGTAAAATCACGATACTCCCGTGGCTCTCGATTGACTCGAACGACTCGGGCGCTTTCTGCTGCCAAGTACAAAATAAAACGCAGTATGTCGTGGTTGCTTACACATGACAAGCGCTCATACCTTTTTGTGCACAAGGAGAACTGTCGGTTTTCAGGACATACATGTGTGTCAATGTTATGCAATCAGTCTGTATTGCTTCGTTTTCCCCTTGTCTTTGTTATTTTATTTTGATTCTACTTTGACCCCAGTCAATCCTGCATTAGCAACTCCTTCTAAAACAATTACCAATGTAAGTTCTCAAAATGTTTCTTAAATAATATTTACTTCAGGAACATGATCTCGCTACAGATAAGTTACTTCATGTGAACTTACGACCCAACTCACAAACCTCACTCGAATTGAGACGCACCTCCACTTCCTCAAGGAAGGCGCGAGGGCCGGCGCTGACCAGTCGCGACGACGGATAGGCGGCCTAGGCTGTTTATCCGTCGTCGCGATTGGCGCGCGCGGGCCCTCTCGCCTTTCTTGAGGAAGTGGAGGGGCGCCTCAATTGGAGTGAAGTTTGTGAATTCGGCGGTTAAACTGCTTGTTTTTGTTCCTACTTCAAAAATGTCGCTGAGCAAGAAAAACTGAACGGGGGATCACCGCATGTGCTGATCAGAAACCCTCTTGCGCAATAAAACAACTGAAACCTGCATACTAGAGTGGTTCCTATTGTATACAAAACAAGGCATGTACAGTCGTCAGCAAACTTAAGCGGAACACCCGAACTCTATTATCTCATGGGAGCGCGATCCATTGTAGTAGCCGAAGAACTGCTGCAATGCGTAGCGCTCAATGGAAGAGCCCGATCAGGGGAAGCCGGTTGCTGAAGATCCGAATAGCGTCTGGTCCGTGGACACCGCAGCAATTTCGCAAGTCGGGAAATCTACATGTGTTGTCAACCCTTCACTCGAAAGTGTATGGAACCGTCCGGCTGGGTCACGGGGCGCGCTGGAATGATACTACACTCTCAGAAAAAAAGGGTGTATTCTTACACGTTTTGCCCCATATAAAACACCCCAAACCTTCAGATCATCGTACAGCGCACTGACGTCGAATCGACGGCACGAACTTTTACGAGAGGCTTGTTAGCCGTGGGGTACAACTTATTAAAATATCTAATGAACGTGTTACTGCCTACAAGAAGAATAATTGGGGTTTTCTTGCAAAAGCGAATTGTGTGTATGTTTATTCAGCCGGAAGTCAGCCTGCCTCAGTAGGAATCTAGTGTCTCAGCTGTAGATGAGCAATTTTTCCAGTGCGGTACAACCGCTAGTCTGGGGACTTTAACGTGCACCACACAGTAGGGATACACGATTGCACGCCGGTACGGTGCTCATCCAGATCGAAACGGGCGGGGGTGCCCTACCGCAAAACCTCAGTGTTTTCTTTCGGTGGTCTTTGATACGTACTTTAGCTATTTAATAAGTTATATCGCACCGTTATCAAGCCTCTCGTAAAATGTGGGGCCGTCTGTTCGAATATAGTGCGTTGTACGTCGAACTGAAGTTTTAGGGTGCATTATATGGGACAAAAGAGTGTAAGACGACACCCCCCCCCCCCCCTTTTCTTTTTTTTGAGAGTGTAGTACCGTCGCATAAATTCGCCCAAATGCGGAGTTCGCTTGTCCTGCCCTGCCGCCAGTTGCAATGGCGAGCAGCGCGTTACGGTAATATTGCGGGTTTCTGTTCGCTTAAAAACTGTCATCATTTTTCAGGAAGGCAGCCCTCCTCGAAAGAAAGTTGAATGTGTGCCAGGTATCCTGGGTAAAGACGGTGTTGCAGGCAAAAAAATAAAAGTGGGTGCAGCATCGCAGACAGCATCTGGTTTCCGCGTGCGTGGGAGCGCACTAACGATGACGACAAAGAATAGTCTCGTGAGCGGACGCGCGAGCAAGATGGAACTTGATGGTCTCAGCAATCCGCCAATGTTCCGTCGGCGCAATGAACTTACCGCGTTATAAATAGTTGTACATAGTTTAAAGGGATACTGAACCGAAATTTGAATTTCGCAAAGTAAGGCTGCAGAAGTGTTGAACGGGACGCTACGAACTCCACAACATCACTCGTACAGCGATATCTCAAACGGATGGCCGTGCTTTTGGTAAAGAAGGGCGCGCTCCAGCGAGTTCTTTGGACGTAACTGTCCTCCGGGAGAATTTGAGAGTGAGGAGAAGCGGCCTCGCTTCTCTCCTCCTCGCTGCGGTTCACCAGCTTGACGGGACCTAGCGGGGGGGAGAGAGAATGGGAATCGTGACGGTGCCTTGTCTCGTCGGCCTCGTCGGCCGGGCTCAATCGCGCACTTCTTTTTAAAAAAATACGGCGATCCGTTAGATATATCGCCGTATGAGTGGTATTTTTTGGTTTTGCAGCATCCCGCCTATCCGTCCGGCCTTGCTTAGTGAGCTCGAAATTTCGGTTCAGTATCCCTTTAAAGAGCTTCGTCAACGTCTCGAGTAATGTCTAGCAACGGCGGCGAGTTCCGAACCAGCCTCTCAAGTCAACGGACGCAACTCCAAGTCTGCAACGATGACGTACTAAGTACCTTAGTTCGACGACATAGCATTTTTGTCTCAGCTGCTGTCCCTGAAACAAAATGCGGTCGATAAGCACAAAATCGTCAGTCCAGTTAGGCGCAAGATCTGTTGGGGCGGAGTGGACTCCATCATGGAGGTCGACACAGCATGAGCTGTGTGCCTGATATCCTGAGACACCTACAACAAGAAGAGGGAGGGTTAGCCAAGATTTGAGAAGTGAACCTTGAAGTTGTTTTTGCTATTTAAGGTCATCTGCCTATTGCTTGTAAGCTCACGCTTCCTGTTTCTTATGC